GAGTCCGCCTCAAGCTCAGGGTGGGAGCTGACCTGCGCTGCTCGGCGTCTGACCTGTGGGACCCGTTCACGCGCCGCTGTAGAAGCGTGGCGTGCGGCTCCGGCCAGCGTCTGCTGGGAGCTAGGTGTGTGTCTGACGCCGAACCTCCAACGTCAGCTCCTCGGCCACCAGTCAGCGCTACACACGCGCCGCCTCCGGTGGCTCATCGCCCTCCGCCACTGCCACCGCCGACCACCAGCCGCCCGCTGCCGCCACTGCCGCCCCCATCTGTCAGTCAGCAGCGTCTGAAGCCTCCCAGCGCTCCGGCACCGCAGTCCGTGCCCCTGGCACCCGCCGATGACCTGCAGGTCATCATGAGGCTACTGGTGAGAACTCAGAACGATCTGGTGCGCAGCCGGGACGCGCTGGTGAAGAACAGAGACAGGTTAATCCACAATCGGGACGCCTCGTCCGACGAAGAAGAGCGTCAGCAGCTGTTGGACGAGCGGGCAGAGCTGGTGGAGCACAGGAACAACCTGCTGGTGGCGAGGAGGGAGCTGCTGAAGCGGCGCAAGGAGCTGCTCAGACAGCAAGGCTCCGGAACGGCAGAAAACTCGGCCCACTCCGATTACCGATATGGAGTAAGAAGGACTCGAAGGCCAAATCACGGAGGACATCTTCCAGCACGCCTCTCCTTCGCAGAGTACGGTCAACACCAGCAGCCGGGAGCGGAGGTGGACGAGGGAGCAGATGTTGACTCTCAGCTGGACTTCGGAGACCCGGATGGTATCCTCGGGAACGACGAGGGCGCACTGGGAGAAGTCAATGACCTTCTAGGAGCATCCAGCGTCAGTGCTGATGTCAGCTCTAATCTGGGAGCACTGACGTCTGCCATCCTCTCAAGTCTCCAGAACGACGACGATCCCGCGACGAAGAAGCCTCTTGGGACGGGAACTGTAGACACAGGGGCTGATCTGGCTGCTGGTTCAGAGGACGCTGCCCAGCGCTACTCTGAGACCGAAATCGGCCTGTCTCCACCACCGATCTCCGATGAGAATCCTCAAGGTTCTCCACCTGACTCTGTGCCACAGAAGGATCTCCAAGAGTCTCTGGGGGCACGATACAGAGGAGCCGGAAGGCAGGGCGATCTGTGGACGTCCGAGGGGTCTGGCCTGGATCAGGAGGCACCTCCAGGTCCTCTCAGTCCTGGAGACACCCAGGGAACTACCAGAGTCGGCGGTAGGCCCAGAGGAGTGGGTTGGCCTGGTGCTGTGGAGAATGAGAATGACGGATACGGCGACACTCAGGTCACTGATCCTGAGCTTTACGACTATCCGTATAATTTGCTAGGTGGTGAACCAGCTTCAACCCAAAATGGACAGGCGGTAGCCGGCCCCGGTAGTGATAAGCGCTTCTTTGCTAGTGACCCCAACCTATATGAAACCAGTGGTGAACTGTACGGAAACGATATCCCTTTCTACGGCAATGAGAACGAGCTGCTTGCCGATGAGTTGGCCGCATACGACACTGAGAGAGATCAGTACCCCGCTGATCTGGCCTTGCCAGGAGGTGGGGATGGGTACAGTCGCGAGCCTCGAGTATCGGTGCCTCAGAAGAACTTCCAAGGGCACGCATGGAATAGAGGGGATCACCTGGATCCTTCTGAGGGAAGGCCTACCGAGTACCGTGACGGCAGCCCGTCTGTTCTGCGGAGCGGTGAGACAAGTGGTGGCATAGGAAAATGATGACAGGCATGGTGTACTTCGAAAATGTGACGTAGAACGCATCAGTTATGGAATACCGTTAGACGCATGGAGTATGGGACGTGACCCAGCATGGGGTATTATTTTGTACTCTTTTCTGTCTTCATTAATACCTACATTCGCTCTGCCTACATTAATACATTTTCCTTGCTATTATTCGTCCTTTGACACCGTGTGATGCTGGCCTTTATTTCACAATGTCTTATTACTTTTGTTCGACCCTCGACAGACCTTTTTATATGTAAGCCACGGTTGAGGATACAAAGGTAGTTGATAGATCCCTCCGTCGTTGGCACTAATTCAGCTCCGGCGTCACAAAAAAAACACGACCACGAGACGCAGCGACTGGTGGGGCATTCCACGTCAAATCGAACAAAAATCGGCTGTTTTGCACCTTACCATCAGCGATTTCATTATAAATTTGTGAGCGAGTTCCTGTGTGGCCCCGGACATTACATTGATGTTTTTTGCACATTCTGACCACAGGTCTTCTAAATATAGGGCATCAAATTTTTACAAAATGTTGCATCTTTATATTTTTGAACGACCATAACTTTGGTTGTACTTGTTTGATTTGAATGAAATAACCCTTACTGTTTAGGTAATTTCTTAAGCATTTGTTTAGAATTGCACCTACTTAAATATATGACCTTGAAATTTGCTTAACTCTGTTCTTAAGCACAAATATCGAAATAGCAAAAAACACGTCACCTTCGATTTGGCTCATTTTCATATATTTTATTGCCTACCATATTATTAACAACCTGTGAAAAAATTAGAGTGGGCCATTCATAAGTTTTGAAGAAAATTGCACATATGCAAACATATGTTAGCACGCGCAGTGGAGGAGGAAGAGCGAATTTCGCCCACCCCTCCTGTTTTTCTCCAATATCTCATAAGATTAATGCGAAATTAATTATGGCTACCTGTCAAGAATTGAATTGGACATCTCATCGTGCAAGCAATAAGAAAATCGGTTCACAACTGTTCTAGTAATAGCGGTGTAAAGTGAACATCCTGTCGCCGCAGCGACGCGGCGACTCGGCAGCCGGCGCCGACCGCTACGCGCCGCCTGAATTGTAGACTGTGCCGGGACGGAACGGAGCGGTTCCGTCTTTACATCGCGCTCCTTACCGCTGATTACGTTCGATTCGCGTCCAATTTTGTGAGAAGACTAAGAAATGTACAGGCAATCTTATGGTGAAAGAATTTTGAAAATCGGTTGGTAAACAATTGAAATATGAACGTGTAAACAGAAAATTGTGATTGCTGCATTTCCCGCATCGGCCGAGCCCGCCTTGCAGCCGGCGACATGTTACTCTTAGCAGGCCTTTAACTGCCATATTTATTATTGGATTAACTAGAAATTTCCCATACATACTATAAAATGTATGTCCTTTCGTATAGTGAAGATCAAAAGACGTGAAGATAACGTTGCGTGATAATGTTTTCGTTGAATTTACTTCATGATGCATTTCCACACGGCTCAAAATTCACCGCAAAATACCGTTTGCCTGAGACACTTTTACTATGGAACGTGAATGCTTGACTACGATGACTATGCATTTCCATTCTCGCAGAGTTTAGGATATCACTAATCAGCAATCATTCATTTCAGAAAGTGTACACAAGCAAGCATGTCTTGACTCTGTCTTTCAAGGTCACGCGCTGTTGCGTGATGTTGATGCATGAAAACGGCGTTTGCCGCGAAAGTTATGAATGGCCCACTCCAATTTTTTCACTGATGGTTAGGAACATTGTGACGGACATAATATGTAAAAATTAGCCAAATCGAAGGTGACGTGTTTTTTGCTATTTAAATTTTTCTGTTTTAATTCAAGGTCAAAAGCATTTCAAGGTCACTTCAATTTAATTTTATAATTAAAAATCAAAGCCTTATCAATTGTCTATAAGACCCTGTTAATATCATTTTGATACCAGAAAAGGAACCAGAGTTATAGCCATTTAAAAAATTGATGTGTGGCATTTTTCGCTATATTCGATGACCTATATCTCAGCGATACGTTATCAAATTTCGAAAATATTATACGTAACTCAGTTTTGAACCATGCCCAGTCTGCCTACAAAGTTTCAGAAAAATCGAAGGGGATGACGGATTTCGGTGTTTGATTTGACGTGGAATGCCCCTGGTATCAAATTTTGAGTTTAGCTCAGTTCAAAATCAGATCAAAGCCACTCAAGTAAAAAAAAAAAGCGGATTGACAGAAATCATATCACGTATCATTCAATTAGACAGGTTCTTCTGAGTACATCAATGGCTGTTTCACTCACTAGCGCAATTTGATCAGAAATTATCGGCGAAAAACTCCGATGACCTTACTTAGTGTCATATATGATTTACGCAAGGTCCACAGTGCAAAAGTTAGGCGTTGGGTCATGCAAGGAGTATATTGTATCGCGATTCGTTATGCGTAAGCTATGTAGGTAGACCTAGATCATGTCTGGTGTCAAAATAGGAGCTTCCCTATTCCCCATAACTGACTTACGCGCAAGCAATGGTTAGCCCACGTGATGGCCTAACCTCATGTGACCTTTAAAAATCCGTGACCTACAAGTTGTGAGGAGTTAAGAGTTTATCAGAAGCCTTTTACACGTCCGTTAAGATTAAGTTCCCTGCAAAATATCCCCTTGCACTGAAAGCTTTGCAACTTTGTGATGACATGTTGGAACGGTGCAATGATTCAGTTGTGACATCAGAGGTCTGTGACCCATCCTGACCTGGAAATGCCGTTACTGTCATAAGATCGGCTTTACTTAAATATTAGGGTAGGTATGTCACGTTTTAGAGCGCTTCCTCTAAAGCATTCCCTGCAACTGTTAGAAACTTTTTTTTAAGTTTTTTTAGGTTGGGCCAACCCCTCATTTGACCGGCAATGGCTGGCGACTTATCATTGTCGTCTTTGTCAGCCACTTTTTCAGAATTCTTCGAACCCAATAAAGTGCATTTGTAATTAAATATTTTTATAGATAATATAAAATATTGATATAATACTTAAATTAAAGCACAGCTGCGTTGAAAACATGATCATTTGCACGGCAAAAACCTTTTTTTAATATTGTTTTCTTTTTTTTGGTTAAATTGTGCATTTGGTATAGGAAAAATGACGCTACTTTTTCTCTATTAATATCTTCGATATCGTCATAAACGAGGTTTATAAAAATCCTTTGTAAAATTCGTTGCTTGGAGGTAGCAACAATTTACAGGGACCGCGAGCGAATTTTCACGAGGTTTAAAAATAAATGCTTAAAAATCATAGATCGCGGAAAATTTGCAAGTGCGAACGGTTTTACATTATCGGCTAAGTAAATTTCAGTTGAATATTTCAGATTATTTTCAAATTAACCAGTTATGACTACATATTTCACGTACCCGCCACCAGAGCTGCAAAAGGAGCTGGCAGATATCGCCAATGCCGTCGCTGCTCCAGGAAAAGGTATTTTGGCAGCCGACGAATCAACGTCAACAGTCGGCAAACGGCTCAGTGGTGTCGGGGTCGAAAATACGGAAGAAAACCGCCGCGATTACCGAGAGCTTCTTTTCACGGCGCCCGATGACATAAACAAATATATTTCGGGAGTTTTGCTTTTCCATGAAACCGTTTATCAGAAGGCGTCCAACGGAACCCCCATGATGGATCTGCTGAAAAAAAAGAAACTGATTCCCGGAATTAAAGTTGATAAGGGTGTTGTACCACTCATGGGCTCCGAAGGAGAATGCACAACTCAAGGTCTCGACGATATGTCCCAGCGTTGTGCTCAATATAAGAAAGACGGTTGCCAGTTTGCCAAGTGGCGATGCGTGCTTAAAATTGGCCGTAATACTCCAAGCTACCATGCCATGATTGAAAACGCAAACGTTCTTGCAAGATACGCATCAATCTGCCAAATGAATGGTCTGGTGCCAATCGTAGAGCCGGAAGTCCTTCCTGACGGCGACCACGACCTTGACCGGGCTCAGAAGGTCACCGAAACCGTGCTTGCCTTTGTCTACAAAGCACTGAATGACCACCATGTTTATCTGGAGGGCACCCTTCTGAAGCCGAACATGGTGACTGCAGGACAGTCGTGCAGTAAGAAGTACAAGGCTAGTGAACAGGCTGCGGCCACGGTCACCTGTTTGATGCGCACTGTACCGCCGGCCGTTCCTGGAGTCACGTTCCTCTCTGGAGGAATGACTGAGGAAGACGCGTCCATCATGCTCTCTGAGGTCAACAAGGCCCCAGGAAAGAAGCCCTGGGCTCTGACATTCAGTTTTGGAAGAGCTCTGCAGGCCTCGGTCCTGAAGGCGTGGTCTGGTAAAAAGGAGAACGTCGAGGCAGCTCAGACAGAGTTGATGAACAGAGCGAAGGCGAACAGTGAGGCAGCGCTTGGAAAGTACGAGCCGGGATCATGCAAGGGCGCCGCTGCGCAAGCTGATCAATTCGTCAAGAACCATGCGTATTAGCGTGTTTTTGGAAATAAAATGTCTCGTATGCATCATTTCACACTTCGGCTTGTAATACATAAACACACACCGCATCTGTTTTATCTTTGCTGCCGCCTGCCGATGAAGCTAGTTGGAAATCATTCGTTTGTGGTCTTTTTAGCTGCAGCAGTTGAAGAATGGAGTCGGTGATTATCATTTCGACAGCGCTCTTATGGTATTTTAGTGACGAGGTAGACATGACATGTCGCGAAACATTAAAAAACTTTTCCATGCTGGTGAGGAAGGTCTAATAAATAACGCATTCCGGCTTTCGTGGGTGCAATAAACCGCGGAAGGTGTAGACATACAACTTTGCACAAGTGTGAGCAGAGCAACCATCTACAATCTTTGACCTCAATTGATAGCTTGTCAGGTCACGAGGTCAAATTAACTCCGGGTGGTCTTTTCTCCAAACTCATATGTGATTGCATCTCTTCTACTACAGGCTATTTACAAAAGAAGTGTTGCTTGCTTTTCATAATAAATGTGGGTATCAAAGTCACCAGTTAATAAACATCGAGTTTGTATTTTATCCTAATGTATGCCAATTTATCACATTATTATTGAAAAAGGGTAGGTAAAAGTGTTCAACCGTCCCCTGCCTTGAAGGGCGTGCCAAAACCTCGCTAAAATAATTAGGTATTCAGAATTGTATAACATTTATGTCCATTTTCTATTAACACTGAATACGGTATAACGTAGGCTAAGGGACTCCGGTACAACCGATGGCCAACGGCTTCTTTGTCAGCTGAGGGTCGGCTGAGGTCATTTGGGGTCATCAGCTATTTTTGCTAACAGCTTTTGAAAAGAGGTAGAACGCCGCGGAGAGCTAGGGTATTTTCGTTCAGCTGGATTGCGATACAGCAACCGATTTGAAAGATGTTTTTTACTCATTCAGGCTATATTGTACATATATATCATTCGCCATGCCTTAGCGAGAGGAAAACAGCAGACGCCTTTACATAGGGTTTGTTGCAAGCTTATATCTCCGTCCGTGATGTTGCAAAAGATGCCAATGGTGCTGAACAATTTACAAAATGATCCCCTCTAAATATTTGAAGACCACTGCATCGAAATTATCGCCAAATTAACGAGCTAGAGCCTCGTCAAGTATGCTATGTAAACCGGGTTAGTGATTTTGAATCTTAAATGATAAATATAATAAAACTTATCATATGTTTTTTTTTACCCTCGCCCTGGCAGGGGGGTCGATGCGACCCCCCCTAAGGTTTTTCAAAGATTTGGCACAGCCTATGGGGCAGCCTTTTTACATATTCCTTGAAAATTTCAGGTCCGGGTGACCTTGGGTCAGGTCACCAGGTCAGAAAAACCAGTACAAGGTCATGTTCAAATTTCAATTTTATTTTTACACCTGTCCAACTCACAGTTTTGGACTGATTTCCTTCAAACTTTCAGTATGTGCTAAGCTCACCGAGTTGTATAACATATAGTCCGGGTTTTTTATGTCACTGACCTGAGGTCAGTTAGAGGTCATTACGTCGTAATGTTAAGCATATGGGAAAATACTAAATTCGGAAAATACGATATCCGCTTCGTTCTATCACTTTTGTGCTTTGAAATCACAGTACTTAACAGCAGGTCACTTGATGCTTCTTAGTTTGGTTTACTTATCCATGGGTCAGGTCAAATGAGGTCAACTGAGGTCAAATGACGTTTTTGCCAATAACTTGGCACATAATGACGCTAGAGCTTGAAAAATGGTGTCATTGTGTTCCTGCTGATCAGCCAAATCAAATAATATGCGATATGCTGCAATTTGGTTAACTTTAACTTAATTAATTAAAGGCCAAAGGGACTATCCCACCTTCTAAAATGTTGTTAAAACCAGTTAAATTGTGCCCGACTTTATAGATTGGATGACCAGGAACACGGTTCTGGCATTTATTTTTCATTAAACATCTTAGGCTTCCCATATTCCAAACACAAACTTTCAAATATGTGACGTCACAGCCCAAAATTACCTCCTTCCCCAGGCCACATTAGGTACTGTCATAAAGCTGATTCTTTTTACTCTGTAGGCACCACAACAAAGTTCAGACCAAGTTTTAAGCGATTTTTCAACGAACAAACCCATTTAAATCAGAATGACTAAACGAGGTGACGTCACACTAACGGTCGCTCCATGTTGAAGATAGGGCCTTGTACAAGGCCCATTTTCAAATGAAGGGAACGAATTTCTTCAACACCAAGAGGCCGCGGGGGTTGCAACCTAGATAGATAGTGGTTTCTGAATCTCGCCGCAAACTTGGCTATCTCAACTCAAACCCCATGTTAAAGGTGGGATAGTCCCTTTAATTAAAGTTTACTTAAAAATTAAGAAAAACTTTAAGTACGCTTAAGCAAACAAAAGTAAATAATTCGACGTGCCTTGACGTTTTAAGGCCACTGGTGCGTTTCTTTTTTCTCTATCTTATTAGATCAAAAGTTATAAGCGAAAAACTTTTGAACTATTTTTAGCGAATTTTTTTATTTATACCCCCAAAACCCACCTAAATAATTACCTAGAGCAACCAAATTTGCACAGGGGCGAGAACTCCAGGGGGCCCGCCTACCTACCAAATTTGGTGTTTCTAGGTGCCATAGGAGCCAATCGCGAGGGGGTCGCATCGACCCCCCCCCCCCCTCCTGCCAGGCCGTGTTATGAAAAATGCCCTGCCAGGGCGAGGGTTAAAGTCATTTTTTTTTCAAGGAAACTAGATATGTATGGTTACTTTTCGGATTATTCTCTGGAATAATCCGAAAAGTAATCATGCAAAACTTAACTTTTTTTTGTTTTTCGTGAACACGGAACACCGCTCACCAAACGTGTTACCAAAACTCCAGTCTGTCGACACATGTTATATCCGAAAAAAATCCTTTATCTGTCCATTACATACTGTTTTAGCTCTACAAGCTATTTCAGATAATGAGTTTTGGTGTTATATCGGATATTGTCGATTTCAGTCGGGACATCACAATGTTTGTCTTTAACCCTCGCCGGCACAGGGGGGGGGGGGGTGATGCAACCCCCCCCTAAGGTTTTTCGCGAATAACTCAGTAAAAAGCGGCCGATCGCGACGAAACCTTCAGTACCCTCGCATTGATCAATTTTACACCTACCCTGAAAATTTCATGACCCTGACCCCAATGACCTTTGACCTGTGACCTCTTTTCCGAGACCATGTTTGGCCGGAATCGCGTTTCGGCGTATGTCGGCTAACATTAGCCGCGCGTTTGCAAGCTTTTTGTGGTTTCAAACGTTCAAACATGTGATTTGATGTCGCTCCCATACATTAGGGTGGGTGTCAAGGTCACCTGAAGGTCAGGTCAGGTCATTGACCTTTGGTGACCTTGGGTGACCTCGTTTCACTTTTTCGAGTTTTACTTGTTTCTAGGCTAGTTTTTGGAGCTGAATTCGAATTTGGCAACCATTTGAACATTTACGGAGTAGTTTTGGTGCCTTCGTAACATGTTACGAAGCTGTCAGAGGCGGTTGACACGTATTACGAATACCCGTCACAACCTCTACCGGTTGACCTGACCTGACCTGACCCGACCTGGTCTAAATGCTCAAAGACATCATCTCTGATCAAAACTAACACGATATTCGTGATCAGCACCCCGGAAAACCACATGTCGCTCCCATACATTAGGGTGGGTGTCAAGGTCACCTGAAGGTCAGGTCAGGTCATTGACCTTTGGTGACCTTGGGTGACCTTGTAGCAGCCACAATTTACGACTTTCTAACAGGTCCCGATTTTCCCGGTTTTCGGGTCATTGACCTGACCTGGAAGGTCACCCGATGACCTACGACCTTAAAATTGGGTATCATCGGCTTCCTCTCGTGACGGGCAGCACGCTCGTTTTTTCCGCGAAGCTCTAGCTCGATCAGGGGCCAAACGCGAGGGGGGGGGGGGTCGTACCAACCCCCCCCCCCCCCCCGCTTGTGCCGTCGAAGGACGCAAAATGTCCTGTGCCGGCGAGGGTTAATGACCTCTAAAATCTCTTTCTATCTGGACGAAAAATAGATTTTTGAATGATATCGCATGTTTTCTTTTTCGTTTTCGAGGTTATCAGTATGCCATCAATCACGCTCTCTAACAGTATAGCGGAGCGGACTGAGACCCTGTTGGAACGAGAGGCAGCGATGTGATGCTGCGAATGAAGTAACTCACCCAAAAAAGGTGGCTCACGTTGATAGAACGAAAAGAGGTGGGTCATTTTCAACCGCCATTGCGCAGGTGTAGCGGATTGTTGTTTGGGTTTCCCTGTTGCTTGCGTAACAGGTAGGACATTGAGACAAAGCTTTTATTTCTCGTTCGTGTATCCTTTGTTAGTTTGGTGATACGCGTGTTTACCAGTAAATCACTTTTGCCGTCACAAATACTTATACTTATTTAAAAATACACAAGTGCTTACTTAGGGACAACCACGAAAGATAATTCTTTCAAAATATATTTCAGCGTAACAAATCGCAAAGCACATAGGTACATTTTACTAAACACTTGTCAATAGTCATTTGATGATTGCTATCACATTACACAAAATTTGGCAAATCTAACGTTGAAAAACATAAACAAACTAGATATATTCAAGTATTCTAGTAGAATCCTTCAGCCTTTGCATGCATGCATTTTGTTAAACCCGATACAAAATACCGATTTCCGTTACTGCATAAACAAGCATTTTGAGCAAATGTGGCGTTCGATCTGTACCTACACTTCAAAGACATTATTTACAAACGCTTCCAACAGCATTAAAAAAATGTATGTAATTGACTGAAAGCACTACGATAACCACCAATAAAAACTGTCACTTACATATGAACATGAGTCTTTCGGACGGAAAACAGAATCATGAAAAAACAGAACACGTTTCAATCCAGAGATACGGTAAAGGTTAAATAATTGCACCTTATGCGATACCGAAATAAAAACGGTTATCTGTAAAGTGAGTTTTTTTGATAAAAAGTGGCCAAACTTTGTAATATACGTAATAACAAGCAAGTAAAATACAGCGGTGCATCTCCATAAAAACCGAAAAGTTGCACTAAGAATGAAAGTTTGAGGTCAGCCTTGAGCAATTTTACTTCTACTAACTAGAAGTAACATCATTCGATTTTAACATTTTTCGTTTTTATAGTAACTGGTTAAGCATTATATAGGTTTGCTTTTCACTATAAAAACGCCTTAAATTGATTGAATGAACAGTAGAATAAATGTAATTACCAATACCAGTATAATCGAATGCACATTTACAGGGAGTCAAATACAAGCTAAACAAGACTGCTTGCTGACCGCACGCCTTCGTTTAATGAAAAAGAATAGAGATTAGAGACGATGCATCTCATTCACTGCCCCGTCCTCACTCAGTCATTAGCTCCCAGTTCTCAGAATTAAGTCCTTATCTGTGATCCTCCTATCCAGCCCTCACTCATCACATTTTCACTGTTCAGTCCTCAGAGGACCAATCCTCCCAGCGCATATAACCACTCTGGCTGATCCTGCCCTCGAGCGGAGAACACCACCCTTCCCGGAGCTGCTGAAGCCGGCTGCGGGTCCAGCTGATTCGCCGGCACGTCCAGGGGCTCAACTCCCTCCAGCAGCGTGGCCAGCTGCGCGCGCACTCGATCGAACTGGTACTGCGGCTGAGGGGTCTGACTGCGGGCAGGGAACAGCGATTCGGAAGGTGAAGGGATGGATGAAGAAGGGGTTGGAGATGGGGAGATGGAGGGGGCGAGGGAGGATACTTGGACAGCAGGAGAAGAGGGAGGAGAGGAGAGGAGATTGGAGGGAGTTGGCCTGGAGTGCGGAGTTGATGGTGTAACAGGGCTGAATGAATCAGGACTGGAGGGAAGCTTTCTGTCTGATTGCAGAACAGATAGTGGAGGATTAACCGGTCTCTTTGAGACGGTCTGGGATGTGAGTGCTCCAGATTTTGTCGGTGGTGAAGACACAGGTGCCGGGGCTGCCGCTGGAAGCCTGGAGGGCCTTGCTGGTTTACGACGAGGGACTGGTGGGCGATTTTCCTGGGGTCTGAGACCCACTGACTTTCTTGGGGCTGGTGACTGGGTTTTAGGCTCCAGCGGCTTTGCCTGTGGTTGGCCCAGGGGTCTTGTCGGCTGTCGGGAGGGACCACTGTTGTTTGATCCCAGAAACTCCTGAGTTTGAGACGTAGGTTGCTGCTCCTCAGAGACCGTTTGTGAGACTGTCTCGACGGTATCATCACCACTGTCGCTGTCAGTGTTACCGCCGCTAAAACTACTGCTGGTGAGAATGATAATGTTGTCGTTGCTCCCACCCCTGCCGGTGTGGTCATTACTGCTTGTTCCGAAGAGCCCACCACTGCTGGACCCGCTACTTCCATTGCTACCGCCGCTGCTGGTAGCGCTGCCGCTGGTCCCGAAAAGTCCGCCACCACGGCTGGATCCGCTGCTGCCACCACCGGATCCACTAGTGCCACTGCTGCTGCTGCTGGTGGCCGTTACGAAGACCCCACTGCCACGGCTAGACCCACTGATACCACTGCTACCGATATTGTTACTACTGCTACCGCCGCTACCTCTGCTTCTGCTGCTGCTGCTGGTGGCGGTCCCAAAAAGCCCGCCGCCGCGGCTGGACCCGTTACTGTCACTGGTGCTGTTGCTGCTGCTGCTGCTGCTGCTGCTGCTGCTGCTGCCGCCACTGCTGCCACTGCTGCTGCTGGTGGCGGTGAAGGAAAGCCCGCCGCCGCGGTTGAACCCGCTGCTGCCATTGCTGCCGTTGCCGCCACTGCCACCGCCGCCGCCGCCGCTGCTACTGCTACCCGTGCTATCGCCGCCGCCACTGCCACTGCCACTGCTGGTGCTGAAGAGCCGGCCTCCAGGACCGACTCCGCTATTGTCGCCACTGCTACCGCTGTTTCTGCTCTTGTCGCTGCTGCCACTGCTATTGCTACTGCTTGTGCTACTGCTGCTGCTGCTGCCGCCGTTACTGTTGCCGCGACTTCTACTTGCACTTCCTCTTCCTCTGCCGCCGATGTCGCCACCCCTAACTTTACCACTGTCATCACTGTCACTGTCTGTACTGCCGCCAGTGTCACCTTCTAGCGGCGTCGGTCGGGGGACGGTGGGCTGGAAAGGTCGCCGTGTCGCAGAAGGTGCCTTTCCGAGGGGAGCTCGGGCAACCGACGGACGTGCGGAAGGTCTTCTTGTTGGACTGATTACCTTCTTCGGGCTGCCAAACCTCTCTGAGTCAAATGATCCATCCTGAGTCGGCTGCTGCGTTCGTAGTGGTGTCTTATTCTTGGTGGCTGTTGTTGGTTTGATGCTGTTTCGCGATGCACCACTCGATTCTTTATTGACAGGCCGTACGGAGGGTCGATTCCGTGGCAGGGATGACGCAGTTGGTCTGGCACCACGTGATTCCTTAGCGATGGCATTTCCCAGCAGCCGTCCCCATCTCGATATGCCTCCTTTGCGCCCAGAAGAGGGAGTCGGAGACACCGATGTTTCTTCTCTATCCTCATCGTTATTGCTACCAAGAGAGTCAACGTCGAGAACCGCAGGTCCCTGGGAGCTAGTGACTTGTTCACCAGAGGTAACTGCGAACTTCTCGCCAAATTCGCCACCATCGTCGCTAAAAGTATCAGCTCGGTCTGTCACACCTTGTTTGGGAACATCACCATCTCCAAACGACAGAAGGTTCTCATTAGATAGGTTCTCAGCACTCGAGCTCGTCTGATCACGACTTGAAGTGACAGGTCTTATTTTACCCGCTTCTTGGTTATCATTTTCCTCCCTCTTCTCGTCGAGTGAGTTCGTCACAGGTTGAGTTCGCCTCCTCTGGCTCTGAGACGCGGTCGAGCTCCGTCCACCGGCCTCCGACTCTCGGCCGATCAGGCTGTTGAGCGAGTAGAACTGGTCCGAGGCTCCGCAGTCGACATTGTACCACCAGTCGCACACAAACACCTGTGAAAGGGAAAAGAGTTGGTAATTCCAAGAATATCCATTGAATGAATAGACCACTCGAGGTGGAAGATTTATTCGAATCCCCGTGTAAGGCTATATTTACATCGTTTTATGTCGCGCACAAAAAAAAAGAAACCCTAACAGAATCTACGGTTTCTAATGCAGTTACTGTACTCTGCACTGATGAGCATGAAGCCGTCCAGCTCGACCGGACTCGATGGTATAAGTGTGCACATGTTGCAGAGGTGTTTCACCGGACTGAGTCACACGTTGCTTGATGTAGTTAACTCCAGTCTTTCATCCGGCTGTGTCCCTAGTGGTTGGAAACACGCACTTGTTACTCCTATCCCAAAGGGTAAAATCTCTGCCGACCCTTCTGATACGAGGCCTATTTCGCTGCTGCCGGCCATTATGAAGATAGTAGAACGCGTAGTCCAGTGTCAGTTGTCCGGTTATTTAGAGCAGCATGCACTTCTCGCGGACGCCCAGCACGGTTATCGCAAGTGTCGGTCGACCGAGACAGCACTCCACGTCGTTACCGATCGAGTACTCTGTGCCATGGATAGAGGCGAAATATCTGTGCTAGTTTTGCTCGATCTATCGAAATGTTTCGATGTTGTGCCGCATGCCACACTGTTAGCGAAGCTTGCCCTGTACGGCATTGATACGGACTGGTTCCGAAGCTATTTGTACGGCTATACCCAGCAAGTCCGCGTGAGCTCTATTGGGGGACGGCATCAGCTATCTAGGACTAGGGAGAATACCATCGGTGTGTTCCAGGGCGGTGCACTTAGCTGTATCATGTACATACATGCTGTTTGCGAATGATTTGAGTCTTGGACTGCCGAGTGACGTCACTACTGTACAATATGCCGACAATACGCAGCTATTAGTATCCGGCAGCAAGCGTGACATCCAGCGAATCATCATCAGCATGGAACACGCACTCAGCTATGTGTACAACTGGTTCTGTCACAACGGGATGAAGTTGAACACCAAGAAGACACAGATGGTTGTGCTGGGAACACCCGCGATACTCCGTACGCTGCCGCCTGTTGTTGTCCGCTTCTGTGGCAATGTTATAGCCGACTCGAGAGAGGTTAAAAACCTCGGTGTGTTCATGGATCGCCACCTCAGCTTTGAGACACATGTGACATACATCACAAGGAAGTGTACAGGCATATTGATAGGGTTATCTCATGCGCGCCATGTCATGCCAAAACAGACGCTGAAGGTGATTGTTGAGGCACTCGTCCTGTCCGTGGTTCGATACTGCCTATCTGTCTACGGCTCATGCGGAGTAACCCAGCGCGACCGTGTACAGAAGATAGTCAACTTCTGTGCCCATGTAGTGACAGGGAAGCGCCGTTTCGACCATACATATTAGCGGTGAGATACAGCGGCTCCGTTGGCTCAAGGTAGAGCAGCTGATCGACTAACACACCGTGTGTGCGCTGGCGAGTGTTATCGTGACTCATCAGCCTGAGTACCTATGTGGAACTATTGGACCGAGATCGAGCCAAAGGCACACCTACAGAACGAGACAAGCCGATCTATTCAGCCGCCCCAACATACGCACTGAATCCGGTAGGCGGAGAATGTGTTACTGTGGCGTGACACTGCTCAACGGTATAGGGGCAGATCCCTGTGAGCCCGGGTTCCGTAGAGCTGTCAGAGCGGTCGTCGGATCTGTCGATCCTCAGTAATGATCGGAGTGAGTTGTTGTATGAGTGGTATGCGTGTGGAACGTGAATGTGGCCTAAATTCGTCCTTTTTGTACTTGTAACTGACGTGAAAGAGTGAAAAACCATGGTGAGTGGACTTCTTTTGAATAAATCTGAATTCTGAATTCTGAATTCTAATGCACTCAGCCCAATGTTCATTGCTCATTCAGCGTAGTTTTAGCCTGTCCTGTCCACGGTATGCCCCAGGCTCACTAGTCACTGGCTAAGCCAACCAGTTGTGAGAGCGCGGCTAATCTCGTCTTACGCTCGCCAACAATATATTTTCGGCACCCGCACTGCGCTTATCCACGGCTTTTACACGCTAGACCACACCAGACCACTGGTTTGTGCAAGCACCGTGTTATAGGCACGGTGTACAAGGTGTAGACAACCGGTTACATAATATAGCCACTTTCATTTGTAAAATCTGCTAGCTATGACTAACTCTAAAATACAAAAGTGACTGAACGGTTCTAAATGTAGTTGCGAATGATACTTCATGTATGTTAGGGCGAAATGCTACACAATACACATTTTGTTAATTATTTCATTGTCAAAAGAATTGAAAGGCTGATAATTGATCAGAGATGTACCATTCTATTCCATAATGCTAGCTGCATGCCAGCTCTTTTGAAAAGGTATAGCATGATGTAGCGAAAACAAATCAAATAAAAATAGCGCTTACTACAAACATTGGGGGGTTGGGGGTCCTTTTGAGGCTTTACATTAGGTCCTTACCTTCTGATTAAATACTGTTCCCGGAGGGCAAATGAAGGAGTCCACTTTATCCGTATGGCACACATGGAAGGCCTGAAACACAAACAATCAATGCAAGTCATGAAAAGGCACGGCTGTAGCCTATAGGCCAATGTAATTCAGTGGCGGCGGAATAGGGGGTGCAGGGGGTGCAGCTGCACCCCCATCGAAAAACATGGGGGTGCAAACATATCTTTTTGCACCCCCAAAATCCGTACAAGGGGCCCGTCGCACCATCCAATACATTTTCTTCTGAAAACCAGTGATCGGGAAACGAACACTGATGTGGAATCATCCGGGATGTCCAATTATGGTCAGGAGAGCCCCATGCTAGTCTTTGGGGCCCCCACACCGGCTAGAAGTGTCCCGAGCCGCGTTTGATGCTCCATGCGACATCTGAGGGCCCCCACGATGGCCTCAGAGGGCCCTTTTATGATGATCTCTAAGGGCTTCCACGATGACCTCTGTCCCCTGGGGCCCTACAACGGCCACTAAGGGCCCTCATGACGACCGCTGAGGGTCCCACAGAGACTCCAGGGCCCCAAGGAGACTCAAGGGGCCACGCTGGCCTCTGAGGGCCCCTATGACGGCCTCTGAGGGCCCTTACGATGATCCCTGAGGGCTCTCACGACGACCTCTGTCCCCTGGGGCCCTATAACGACCACCAAGGGCCCTAATGACGACCGCTGAGGGTCCCACAGGACTCCAGGTGCCCCGCTGGCCTCTGAGGGCCTCTACGACGGTCGCTGAGGGCCCTCGTGACGGCCCTAGACCCAACTCAAGTCTGAGGGCCCATTTGGCTTCAGACGGCCCAGCGACAGCCCCAACACAGCCATGCTGCAGGGGCTATGCTGGCATCTGAGGGCCTGCAACGGTCTATTGAGGGCCCTAACGATGGCCTCTAGCGTTCTTACCAAGGCCTCTGAGAGCCCTGCAAAGGTATCTGAGGGCCCATGGGGTCCTCACAACAACTTCTGAGGACCCCAGGATGGTCCCTAAGGGGCTGAGGGCCCTGACGACGACCTCTCTGAACCCTCACGATGGTCTCTAAGACCCAACGGAAGCTCCAAAGGCCCACGCTGGCGGCTGAGGGCCCCACGACGGCCTCTGAGGGCCTCGATGCAGGCAGACTCCAGGGGCCATGCTGACCTCTGAGGGCCCTCTTGACGGCTTCTAGGGCCTAACGAAGGCTTCAAGGGCCAACGCTGGCCTCTGAAGAACCCTACGACGGCCTCGGAGGGCCTCAACTTAACGCAGGCAGGTGCCAGGAGACATGCTGGCATCTGAGGGCCCCGCAGAGTTCAGATTCAGAGGGCTCAACGACCTTTGTGGACCTTACGAAATACGAAGGTCTCCGAGAGCTCACGCAGGCTCCCAGAATTCCACAATGATTCTCAGGCCCCATGTCGGCTTGTTGAGGCACTTTATCTGCTCTTGATGCCCCGTCGCCGGCCTCTGAGAGTCTCAATGTCGGAACTTATGGGGGGCCATGGGCCCTACACCGGCTTTTATGGCCCCTACATCGACTCTTGGGACTCATGACCCATGAAATGTGGGTCTACGCGGCTTCTAAGAATCCCCATGCTGGTTCTAGTAGCAACCAGCCGGATATTTGGGCTCACACGCGAGCTCCTGGGACCCCGTGCATATACCCCAGGGGTCTACCTGCCTCTAAGACCCCACACATACTTTTGGGGCTCAAACGCTTGCCCCTGAAGGCCCCACTGACACTGAGACCCCCTTTCCCCTATTCAGTCCTCCATACCGGCTCTTTAGGCTAAGCATCGGCTCCTGTGGCCTCCATCCCGGCTTTGGAGGGCCTCCATACAGGTTTTTTTTTGGGGTCCGATGCCGGTTTCTGAGAGCCCTCAAAAGACTTTCGGACCTATACTGCCTTCTGAAACCTTTCAGCAACTTTCAAGGGACCGACCCTGATCGGAGGGCTCATTCAGTCTGGGGAGTCATGTGGGTCTCTGGAGGAGTCTTTATGTGGTCGGTTTCCAAGGGGCTTCTAAGCACGGTCTTCTTGGAACGGTCTCGTAGGGCCCTCAATGGTTCACTGCGGATCCAGAAAGTGGCTTGAGCCGCTGCGGGTGGTGGCTAGACTAAAAGATTTGCAGATAAAAATTTTTTTAGAAAAAACTAGCTGCATTTGCTTCTTTATGCTTTCATTATTTGAAATAGGTAGGCACACTGCAATTTCAAACCTTTTACAGAACTTATGTGTATGGGGATAGTTTTCCAAAATCTTCGTTTTTCATAAATCAATAATAATCACTCAAAAAAAAATGAATGGGGGGCCCAAAACTTCCAGAGGGAAAGTTTTGAGAAAACTTTGCACCCCCATCCAAAATTACCTTCCGCCGCCACTGATGTAATTTCCAGAAAAAAGAGCAAAATGGGACTGCATTGAACTTGAATCCCACAACATGAGCAGTGAACAACTCTATCGACAACATTTCGGCGTATTCCACACTTCAATGACTCTGAAAAAAGGTTGGATTTATATAAAACATTCTGACACTCATAACAGTCAAAACATGGAAGGCCAAACAGTGCAGCCGACCTGGCAGCAGCCTACAACATATCCCGACGTTTGCACAACAAACCTGACGGTCGGTATACATACACGCAACATACCTGACACTCAATACATACGAGACATATACACATATACTCGTATATAGCATACCTGACAGTCGATACACCAAACCTATAGCTCGTATAGCTTACCTGACAGTCTGTCTCCAGATCAGCATAGTAGCCGGGCCCGAACTGGTCACACGAGAACGACGTCTTCGGAACGCTGGTGTAGGTCGGATAGGAAGATCCTGCGGGCCACAGGGGCACGTCACTGTCTGACGTCATTGTTTGACATCATTGTCTGTTTTCATAGACCCAGCAGCGATTACGTTATCGTATTGAAATCAAGCTAGACCGAACCGGCTCATGGCTAAATAGGCATTAATTTCCCATAAGTTATCCCACCGCAAGACCGTTGTGGCCTCGAAGGTCAGGGTTACCACACAGCACACTAACCATGCTGGGATAACCCTAGAACGCCTAGGGGGGGGTTGTATCAACCCCCCCCCCTGAGGTTTTTTCGAAGTGCACGCTAAACGGCTTGTCGTAGCGGGCTGAAATTTTCAATACCCTCTGGGGCAACCTTTGCGCATCTTTTGCCGAAAAAAATTGATCGGGTCATGTCAGGTCACGGAGTTATGACGTCATAAGAGGTACAGCCTCCGGCCGACAGTTACCAAACGTGTGCGCCGAATCCCTAGGTTTTCTGCCGGTGATACCCACATTGTTTGATGGATCATGATGAAACTTCCCATGCATGTTGGGGCAAGCATTAGCTATCGTGTGGTGCAAAAAAAAATGACCGGGTCAGGTCAGGTCACGGAGCTATGACGTCATGAGAGGAACAGCGTCCGGTACTATTTTTGAAAAGCGCCCGAACCACTATTTTGCTAATTCTTGTCACCTCAATGGGAATATGCAGCAATATTAGCTTCTATAAGGAGCAAATGGACCTTCCAAATCCAAAAATACAATCAGATTTCAAAAATTTAAATTTTGATTTTTCGAATTTCTGCCGCCGACTGTGACCTTGCCGACTTCCGGCGCTCCCAACGCGCCATTTTTAGAGCTAGGGAAACGAAATACATACCAAACAATAGAGAATTGATCAAGGAACACGATAGTGAAGGTTTCAAGTCGATATCTCCCACCGTTTTGCCGCAATCGCCGCGGAAAGTTGAAAAAAGTCTATTTTTCCGAAAGTTTGACCTTTGACCGGTCAAAAGTAGGTCAAATGTTGACCTAAGGCCAAAAAATATACCACCAATCGCGAGATCTCGTTGAGAGCAATCCGTTGGTTTTTTCCGCTAAGCTCTACGACCTTCCGTTTCGAAACGCCAGGGGGGGGGGTCGTAACAACCCCCCCCCTGGTCGTTCGTGTTATGAGAAATGGCCTGGTCGTGCGAGGGATAATGAATCACTACTTCGAGGGGTGTAATCACGGTAAATAGATACGATACGGCTTCATGATTAGGACCGAAAGGAGTCTGTTGACCGTGCTCATAGTAGAGGTGCCTGAAATTTTTTTCTTTATCAGTTAATTTATGAAACAATCAACGCATGCCTACAGCAACATGCGACGAGGTTCCATAGAATTGAATTTATATTTGATTTTTTTCTCACAAATAGGGCATCTTTTTAGTACAAACTTCAGGCTGATTCGGTATGGGTAGCGAGGAAGGAGCGGGACTCGTAACATATCGTTTCATGTAGGGTCATCAATATAATTTTTACATTATCGCCACTTTTGTTTAGTTATATCTCAATCCATTATCAGTCTCAATCGATTTAGACATAGAGACAAAAAAGATGTCACCATAAAAACAATAAAAAACACCATAAAAAGCAAAAATAAATACAGCACTTTTAGATTTCACACATAAGCATGAGTTAGCATTAATGCCCTAAGATAGCGCTTCATCAAAGTAAAGTAACAGCCAATTCAGAAGCTACATGCCCTATAGAGTATGATCGTGATCTGCAGCAATGGTCTCTTTCTACTCACCAGAATTCGCCTGCCGTTTAACCTGAAATGTAAATATTTACGGTGTCATCACGGAATATAGCTCACAGCATTGTCGATGATACCTACGGTTGAAATTGTTTTATTTATTACGTAACATGCAATGCCTCTTGAATCCTAATTTGCCTAGAATAAAGATATATAACTGCTTTGAATAGCAAATAATTGCTATCTCATCAGCATCCTTTTTTAATGTCACAACTGCACAGTGCGTAAGCAACAGCGAGAGGGTATATGTAATGTCATAGTGTTTACTGCCTGAAGAATGAAGCACCAATCAAAGTCAATCATGCATATTGTGATACAGACGGTGCTTGTAAACTAATGGCATTATTCATGTGAACCGTATTTACTAGTGTTCCTTGGGGTGGAGATAATATTGTACCAGGCTCTTATCGGTAGCTGAAAGTTATTTATGACTGAATCTGAACGCACCGTGGCATACTGATCAGCGAAGAAGAAACCCGGAACAAATAAGTGTAACACGTTCATCATTTCTCTAACGATCATCAACTCCACAACCAGCAGGTGCAATGGGCCCGCCCGCCTCTCTCCCGCTTAGGTACGAGCCATAACACGAGCCCACGGGGCATGGCAGCGATCCAGTCGGCCATGGAACCGTCCATTGATTGTGGTGAAAATCGGCAGACTCCTCGCTGAGAGGGTTGCGTCAGAGGTGTGAGAGAAATGAGTGAGGCTGCATCACTGCACAGAAACTGGGTGTAGCGCGAAGGACCGGTATCTCTTCCTGCCGCTAGACGTTTTTTTACGTGCACCGCACGTGTTCTTCCAGTTGTTCGTCGGTGTGACGGACGTGGAAACTGGCGTAAAAATGTCCTCACTATTGGTATGGTGAGAGTTGCAGATCTACCGGGCAGATTTTGAGTTCAAGCTGTGGTTGTAAGCCTTCAAACAGGAATTGATCTGTCACGCCTTTGGCGTATAGGCGACAGGAGTGCTTACATCGGTCACTGACGCCATTGCTAATTTTTGTACGGCCATATTTCCAAGTAAAACACAAGTGTTTATTTCGGATGATGTGGCTTATAATTTTCTGTCGCAGAAACGTTTATTTCTCAAAACTGTTTGCTGGTCAACATGAAGAAAAGATATTACCGGTGACGGAGTTTTATCATGAAAAGATTTCCGCATTCTTTGGGCTATTATCCGCGACCAGTCCCGACGGAACCTGATGCAGCACGTTTGTTTCGTAACATGTGCCATCACTTTCTCTGCGGCAGCGTTGATTCAATTTCGCAAACCTATCGGTGTTCTGGACGATAATAGCTTCATGTAAGTCGTTTTATGTCTTAGGATACGGTCGTAGTTTTGCGTAGAAGCTGGAGACGTTGGAAGCTGATGGCCATAAGTCATAGTCTGACGTTCGTACCACGCATGTTTCAGATTCTACAAGGTCTTCTAACATTGGATCATTAGGTATTACTTCCTTTTATGCCAAACACTGAATGATCATATCACGTATGCTATGGCTATGTTAATCGCTGCGATTGACCAGAATATCCTATAAAAGTGCATGACAGGTGTACCTGCTAATTGATCGCACAGGTTTTATGCATAAATAGGGGGCGCTAAACTGCTTACCTGCGCGAGGGTAACTCCGATCAATATTTGACAAAAGCACACCGAGACGAGTAACGCTGAAACATGTGCGTGAATTAGTATGCAGAATGCAGATTCATAGGTAAATGTAGAAACATGAGATGCGCCCATAGAAATAACGGCAAGTCGAAGGCAAGGCGTATTTGAGGTCGAGGTAATGAGTGATACCTTGAGCAAAAATATATTACAGAGACGGCTCTACACAAGAATAATGAATACTCTCCCATATTTATGCTGGCAATAAAAACACCGCAATGCACGTCCTTATCGCCATGAACGTATGTAGCACGAAATTAGCGCAATAGTCTAAGCGTTGCTATTATTACATTGCAATTGGCAAACCGTGTCACATTCCGATGTCGGTTCACTGCAGGGAAAAACAGCCTGAGACAAATAGTCAAATAGCCGATGGTTGGCTTACCACTTGGAGATCGTAGAAACATGGCCACCAGCACAGCGCAGGACAGCGCTGAAACAGACGATAGGTGAGAGTAAAAATGAGCGATGGATCTGCATTTCGGCATCGACAAATCGCTGTTGGCAGCAGCTGATGATATACGATGTTCCGCGGGTCAATTGACAACAAAATGAGACGCATACAAATATAGGAGCAAATGGTTCGATCTAGCTACATTTTATTCCAATGATGCTTCACCAACCACAAACGTCTTAGGGGTGCACAGTTATACCTACACACGCGAGTTTTTTGTCCTGTTTGTTCAAGGGTCTATTCACGGCCATAGGAGGGCTCTTCGGGGGTTTCCCACGCACAACAATGGCCCACTATTGATGTCTAAATGACAGTTCTGCTGTTTAACGATCGATTTGTGAATGTTTACCAGACCATAACCAGGTTTACATCTTTTGATGGCGCTTAGATCTTGAAAGGAAACCATGGAGACAAAGCATGCCAGGTGAGCACCAGGAACATGTTTCGAAGACTTTTAGAGATTGTGAAATCTGGGGTCACCCGAAGTCAGTAAAAAAAGACCCTTCACTGGGTAAGCCCCGCGCTTCAGTTTAGTGGCGCATTTATGGCGGCACCGACACGCAGCTGCGTCACTTCACGCCGCCGTTGTTAGGTCAGCGCCACTAATTGACCCATAGATCTCACTCAGTTTAATGACTGCCAGAGGCGAGAAGAGGGCTGCTTCACATGGGCTAGACGTGGCAGTGGAGAACAACGCGAGTCTGCGAATGAATTGAAACGAGCAGTGAGCGCTGAAAGTGAAATGGGCGCAGCCCTGAATAGCACCGTTTTTACCTTTTCCATCTTTTCTGCTTCGTCACGCTCTTGTTCGCTCACCCATCAGTTTCTTTGGAGCTGAGCATTCATAGCACTCCTGAGCTCCTGACGCGCCGTCTCGCCTAATCTCTTTCGAGCGCAAAAGCCGCGCTGCGCGGTTGAGTGTTGGTGTGGGCTCGGGTTTAGGAAGCTTTGCTCACCTCCTCTCGTGACTCGGGAGCGACCGGGCCCGCAGTTTGGCGAAGAAGCGGGAGGAGAAAGTGTACGGCAGAGTAGCGCGGCAGGTCGCGGAACCCCACCGGAGCGGACCGGGGTCATGAAGAGGTCACTAAGTAACTGACTCGGGTATTCGTAACAAAGCAGCGTGCTTATTATCTTGCAAGGGAGGATGCAAATACAAATAGTGCTCGATCATTATTCGACAGGCAGATTTTCAGCGACTTGCACAGCGATATTATTGAGTGTCTATGCTGCCATGCCTGGCGCAGACAGACAGACAAAACAATGGCCCGTCATGATCTCCACTCCAGTCATTCTTTGGTCCGTCCGTCCCACTCCCATCGCTACTCTTACATACAGCGCTACTCCAGGCTAATGGGCTCCCAAGGGTGGAATTCCGCCTCGCCTTTTGTTACTTTCTCCGACTCGTTCGCTTTTGTTAGTAAATTAGTGAGTCGCTGGCTTCAAAGGTCAAATTGTTCACGTTGCTAACTAGAGTGTCGTGAATTTGGATAGACAACTGTTTAACGCTGTTTCTCAATGCGTCGTAACTCTCTGTGCAAAAGATGATTTAAGCCTCTGAGATGAGAGCAAACTCATTAATTAGTGAATTGGAAGAAAACTTCAATATTTTCTCCCACGATTCTCACACAGCATTACGGGTTCTGGCATTTTGATTTCTATGATTTCTTACCTATCCCCTGCTTATTGGGTGAAATATGCGCTGGAGAGCAACATTTTTTAACCGTTCCGAAGTAATCGAATGCTTGTGCCCAATTAGAGAGGTAAACACACACACAAAACACACAAAAACACCAACACTTATTGGTATTGTTTCCTTTGTAAAATCTACGTCATCGTAAAAAATGACTGATTACTAAAAGACGCCTGAGAACTATGAATCCAATCACGTTAAAAAATAATTGGGAAAACATGAGCGCTGATGTGAGAGTGAAGAAGCTGTTGCAGGACAAGTTTTAAAAACGTTTTTTTCATAGTGTTAAATTTGTTTAGGCCAAGTCCATAATTCGCCAGGGGTCAATGAGGGCATGCATGCCAGCGAAAAAAGTTATGATATCGCTACCGTGTTTTTTCTAAATGATATTCGACGCAGCTCTATTGGATAGCGATCGGGATGTCAATACAAAGAGTGAGATTTGAGAACATTTGAGCTTTGGTGACATAACATTCGAACTTATCCCTCGCGGGCCCGGGGGGGGGGCGTTTTTCGCCCCCCCTGGCGAATATTTGCGATAGCTCCCGAACGCTTAGGGATAGGAAAGCGAAACTTTCAGTACCTTTTCTCCCATCAATTTGGCATCTTCTGAAGTAAAAAATTTGGACCTAGCCCCCTTGATGACGTCACAAGGTCCATTTTTCTAGACCCCTGCACGGCAAACTTCGGCGTCACAGACGCAAACTTCAAATAGCTGCTAAAAATAGAGTTTTAGAGATAAAGACAAATTACGAGCACGGTTGTGTAGCGTTTGACCTAGAGAAAAATAGAAAAATAGTTTTGGTGACCTGAGGTCAGAGGTCAGGTCAACGACCCCGAAATGTGGTTTTAGTTTTTCGCAAATAACTTCGACAAAAATGGTCCTAGAGCTACGGCAGTGGTACCATCGCATTCGCCTTGTCAAGCCGCGTCGAATGATATACATTTTGTTCGGAAAAGGTCAAGTTTTATGTTGACCTCATGTGACCTCGAATGACCTTTGGTTGACCTTGACACATGAAAGGTCGTTCATGATGGATTTGTACCCGCTGATCACGAATCTGGCATCTATTTTCCTCTAAGCCTTCATTTAGAGCTTCCGGATGGCAAAATTGTCTTATTTATTATTACTAACTTGAATTAGTGAAATAGCCTCTAGCAGGGATACTCTTCAGTGACCTTGACCTTTGAGCAGCCTTGTATCGTAAGAGAAACCACAAATAGGGAACTGATAAGCCTCAAAACATTTCAAAACATCTTGAAAGTTAGCACGCAAGATGTGCGAAAAAGTGCCAAGTTTGAGGTCAATTTTGAGCGTGACCTTGACCTTGACCTTTAATTTTTAGCACATTTTCGGAATCCTCAGATTCTCTTCTTTCGTTTGACACCCAATTTTGCCGGTTTGATGCCGCCTGCCGTCCTCTAGAAGGCTTACTTTGAGATCACTACACATGTGCCGGTTTTTGCCTTTGACCTTGACCTCTGACCTTGAAAATTGACCTGAGGTCAAAAAATTTAGGTGCTTTAGAATCGTCTCGTAAGGACCTTTCGTTTGGTATCGCTTTTGTTTCCGTAGCTCCCTTATTTACGGAGTTAGACAGGGGGGGGCGAAAAACGCCCCCCCCCGGGCTGCGGTGGTTGGGATTACCCCCCGGGCCCGGCCGGGTTATAGGTCACCTTTTGCCTGACTTTTTTCTGACTGTAGCACTTTCTTAATCCTTTTCACTACCTATTGAAATTCGTTAAATGTTTGCCGCTGCGTGGACCATGGAAATCGAGGTAGAAGGGAGGGCTTGAAATCACCTGCCTCGATGTGTCGTGATCGTGTAATTGCATCTCGGCGCTGGTTAACCCTATTAGTGGCAGGGGGGGGGTTGTTTTTATCCACCCCTCAGGTTTTTCGGGAATATCTCCGAAACCGCTGAAGCTACGATGCTGAAATTTTCTGACTTTTTCGAAAACTAAATTGGGCACATTCCCTGAAAATTTCAAGTTCATAACTTTACCAGGGGCGGCTCCAGAGCACTGGGAATTGGGGGGTCCTATTCGTGAAGCGAGTCATTTGGGCGAAGATCACGATGCTGCACCAGTTTTACGAACAGTGAATGAAAGGTATCATGTGATAACATATACAAAGTTATTGTGCATCCTCTTTTGACACGTTTTTGCTATAATAGGCGGATCCAGGCGTCCAAAAAGGGGGGTTATTCTTACCTCCCAACATAGGTGCCCTGACACCGCCTATGCATGACCAATACAATTTTAGTCGTTCTCTCATAAGAAAATTGTAACATAACAAGACTATTGCCACCCTTTTTAGAAACAGTACCAACAAAAACCTTATTTACTATACTTTTTGTGTACCCCCAATCTCAATGATCTGTATCCGCCTATGATTTTTGAAAATGCATATTTTTAGGATCCATGTGAATTCCTGGTTCATTATCTATCGATCGGCAAAAGTTGCGTTAAGATTGGTTCAGAAACCTGGCCGTGATAAACAGTATAAAATGTATCTGCAATTTGCCCGTTTTTACCCCCCTCTACCCCCCTATTGACATTTTTCAGTTTTATTTTTTTAAGAAATGTAGATCTCGTTGAGCCAAATCGAATGCCGTTTGAATTTTGAAAATCGGCCGGTTGGATCACGAGATATCAAGGGGGGGTCGTAAACAGCCCCCCCTGCCACTAATATGGGTTAGCCAGGAGCCTGCCACTAATAGGGTTAATATATTGATCGCTACCTCAATATCGTCAGCGACATAATGGTATTCATGAAAAACAAGGAAAGTTCTGAAAGTTCTACGAACGTAGCTTACATTTGTTATTAGCAAGATATATTACTCACATTGCCCCTACCTTCGAGGAAGAAGTATCCACGAGCAGTTGCTCTTCGTCCCGTCTGTGTATCCTGTTCACTGTTCTGTTTGGCGATCTGCAACTCGCGTCACTCCGACCATCTGCTGATCTGACCTGACCGGACCTGACCTGACCTGTTCAGTGCTCAGTCCATCGCCCGGCGCGCCGCCGCACTGCCTTGACTCCCTCCGTCACTTCGCCCGTCTCGACTGACCGCGTCGGCACCGGTGCTTCTTCATGGCACCTCACCGAGAGGAGACCGGGCTGCATCCCCGCCATTTCACCCGCGCCGACCTTCCCAGACGCAGCCGCAAAGGTTGGGACGCTGGGAATCTCTAGAGAGGGCGTGGCTCTGTTGAGTATCGCTGGGATTTGCGGCGTGGAACGCCACGCGCGGCGGTGTGGCGGCGGTGGCGACGGTGGCAGCGGTGTGGTGGCGGTGGCGGGGTCACGGGTCAGGTCACAGTTGCGTGGCGGGGTCGTTATGTCTGCGAACTGAGTGCGGTGAGGTCAAACGGATCGTATACTTCTGGCTTATGACTTGTTACGGGAGCCCATTTATGTTACGTTGTTAGCCCTCACCCGTTTTGGTGTTTTGCCACTCGCTAACGTACATGGGGAAAAGGGAAGGGTCTGTTTACTGAAAAAAGGGACGTGATAAGAACAGTCGCTATTTTTAGTGGTTCAAATGGCTATATCTCTGGTTTTAGAGATATTTTGTTGATTTTTGGCATTCATAAGGACAGTTAGGTGTTCTCTGACATATAGGGGAAGGTGGGGTAAGACGGCCCAGCGGGGCAAGACGGACCACCAGCCCTCCCGGCTGAACCGCTGCTGGTATCTACTGCTTTATGCACTCACTATGTTTGTTTTCCTTCGTAACAATGGCCACCTTGAGCTCATGCTGCTCGGATGCATAGCTTTTGAGCTATTGAGAAAAATGTTGTTTTTCGTCAAACCGATCTAATATAAGAGGGCTACGGGTGATTCAATTACGGCGCCTTTCTTGCATGATAAGTTTCTATTTTGCACTTAACTGTGAAGAACAAAGTTATAAACTTAGTTATAGTCACACTTTAGGAAAGGCAAGGTTTTGCAATGTTGGGCTATTTGACATATTCGTCATGATTATGACATAATTTAGATTTGGGGCAAGACGGACCACTGTGGTCCATCTTACCCTGTGGTGGTCCATTGTACCCTGCATATGGAAAGTTCTTTTCCAAAACATTGACACAAGTTTAAGTAAGCTAATTTTTCAGGAAGGAGTCTTTGTTGCATGTGAGCCATGCATGCAAGTGCTCAGTTAGCATGCATTCATGCCAAACGACACTCAGCACACATGTTCCCAGCTTTTAGCTGCACTTCCATCACACATGAGTAAAAATAAAGGCTCATTTTGTTATTTTACCATTCTGGTTACTTTTTCTTACAAGAGTACAGAGCAGAAATGTAACACACATGAACGGATAGCAGGCACTGCTGGGTGGTCCGTCTTACCCCACGTTTTTTCTTGTCTGAGTTTTTGACATGTCCCTCTTTAAGAGCATCCACCACCTAGATGTCTTTTATTTGAAATTTAGTCTTTACACATATCAACAGAGGAAGGATTGAGCATTCCGAAGACTATAAATAATATGAATTACGAGAGCAGTGTAGCAAGATATGCGGCCTCAAACCTTAGCTGGTCCGTCTTACCCCACCTTCCCCTATTCCGTCTCTTTGAAATTTTACGTAAATTTCAATAATGTCTAAAGAAAGCTAAAATTTGTAGTTAGAAAATCTCAGGATATTTAGATTTTTATATTTCGGGAATTTCGAGATGATTATCTTGTTTGCCATGTTTTTTTTTTTTTGTAGGTACATATGAGCCGTTTTCACGACGGGCTATCCGGCGAATGCACCTGATTTGACCAAATCTGCACCCAATTTCTTTTACATTAAATATCTTTATTTTATGAATTTATTTCAGTGTTTTAATCGATGATGCTCTCTGATAATATGACAAAGCAGGCATATAAGCAATTGCCAATTAGTGCAACCCTAGCTGATAGCTGCTAAGAGACACACTGAACCTGATTTGACCAAATCTGTACCAGATGTGCACCAAATGTGTACCAGATGGCTGTCGTGAAAACGGCTATGGTTCACTTTTTGAGTCTCGAGGCTGGCAGTCTGATTTTCTTATTTTTCCCGTTAATAACTTTTTAGGCGAAAAGTGGCCGAACATGACCTCAGCCTGGCCCTTATAACTCCTGACCTGAGGCAACGTAGGATCTATTTTTTTCAGGAGTTGTGTAAACTGGATGCCGGAGGGGTACCGAAAGCGGTGAATCGAAATTGGCGGCCGTTTCTGAATTAGCTGAAAAAAAACACAGGCCGGGTCCGCCCTTTGCCCCCCCCCCCCCTCCCAACGGGTTGCGGGTGAATCTAATCTTGTGATAATAGACGTATGTCCCCCGATTCCTAAGCCTTCAAGGACACCACAGCTCAGTGAGAAGCACGATCCCGACTGGGATATCTCATGATTTTCCGAAACGGTCGCCGGAATATATGTATCGCGGCTTCTAGGCTCCAAATGACGTCACAGCACAGCGAGAAGCACGATCCAACGAAACTTTTCGAAATCCGGTAACCGTTTCCTAACTATTTAGGAAAAACGCCGAAAATCCAATTCTTCCCCAATTTTCCTCTAGCGATCCCCAAGCGAAATACAGCTTAGGTCGTCAGTAACTGTCCATAAAATTAGGCCACCAAGTCCGAAAAAGCCACCAACCGACTCCGCAAGACCTGCCGAATCAAATGACATGCAACATGACCTCCCTTGATCAACTTCGTAACCTGACTGACATTGACCTGACCTTGACCCGAGGTCAACACTCCAAGTTGAACAAAAATGGTATATTTCGATGAGCCGGTCCATGACAAACACGATGGTGCCAAAATCGATGCATACCTATCGATAAATCGCGAATAATTTTATCTGTCACGTGAAAAAGTATGTAAGGAGAGTGTTTTATAGAAAATGTATTTCAATTCAGAGGAGCAAATTATAACCATTCTTTTTGTGCCCCATGAATGTCAATCACCAGGAATATCCGGAAAGCGTTCCAGTGTCCAGTAAACCCATGTCATAGGAGACCCACCCAGTTAACAATTTTGACTGAAGGCTCTTGAACAGGCCTAAGTAAGTTTACCAGCACCCGTGCATTCTTCTAACGCTATCGTCGACCCCTCTCGCCGTTGACCACACCAGTGACGGATCCCAACTCCTCTCCCACCCCACCCCACCCCATCCCCCCGCGGAGAGGGCTGCGGCTCTCCGTGGCCTGACCACTCGTCACGGCGATTACACGAGTCGGGCTGGCGGTGCAACAGGTCAAAGGTCACCTCCACAAGTGCCCGCGGCGGCGACCGGCGTGGGACGTGACCCCTGCGACGGGCCCATCCGCTCACCGCAGAATAACCGCGCGTAAGGTGGCAAACGAGTTCGCTATGGCCTTATGGGTTGTGACCGCTGTGAGCTGAATTAGGTAGTAGGGCTGGGTGAGATGGGAGGGGGGGGGGGTAGGGAGGTGGCACACTCCCGAATGACCCGAATGAGAATGACCCGAGGCGCGTATGGTAGCACTACAGATGCAGAGCCCCCAATATCCTCGCAAAACTATTAGTTTTTATATAACAGCAGCACCAGCGGACAAGCAGCCATCCCCCTAATCGACAAGATCTTCGCCACGCACGACATGCCAGAAACGGTGAGAACGGACGGAGGACCGCCTTTCAATGGCCATGAGTTCGCCGCCTACGCCCGCTGGGCTGGCTTCAAGCATCAGAAAACGACGCCAGAGGACCCTGAGACCAACGGCCTAGTGGAAAACTTCATGAAGGCAATCAAGAAAACTAGAGACCCCCCTCGCCGATCCTGATCCGCCCGTAATTGAGTCTCGCGAAAAAAAACGGGCGTGTGCGTCGTCACGAGAAGGAGCGACCGGCACCTGATTATAAGGTCTCAGATCAACTGGTGATCTCTTCAAGGTCAGGTCAAGTGCCCCAAAGACGGTTTCGGTTTAAAAGTTTCGCCAAAACGGTCGCAAAACCGCGATTCTGGCACCATCGTGTTCGTCCTGATCAGGCGCGTTGAATGATATACTTTTTGTTTGGTTGAGGTCAACATTAGGCGTTGACCTTAGGACAAGGTCAGGTCAGAACCACTCGGGCTACACAGCTGGACGGACGCCAATATCGCACGTAATTTAATTTAGCAGGTCTTCCCGAGCCCATTAGTGGCTTTCCCGACTCGTCTGCTGGTTGACCTGACCCGTCCTGGCCTAGATGCATGAAGACATCCTGTGATCAAAACTAACAGGATAATCGTGATCAGCACCCCGAAAAACCCATAACAGCCACCCTTTACGACGTTCTAACCAGTTCCGAGTTTTCCGAGTCCGACTTTTGGGTCATGGACCTGACCTGGAAGATTAACCAATGACCTAGGACCCTAAAATTGGGTATCATCGGCTTCCTCTCGTCACAGGCAACAGCTCGTTTTTTTCTGCAAAGTTCTAGCGTGATCAGGGACCGAACGGCAGGGGGATGCCCTACCGATCCCTTGGCATTCCCTATAGCATTCCGTACGTTAGACGGTGTAAAAAGTCAGTACGGGCGAGTAAATCTGAATGCGGATTCTTTTTTTTTTAACTTTTATTTTGGTCGTGGGTGATTTTCGTTTCTCACAATGACCGATCTAAGCCCTGCTCACCCTTTGCCCCTAGCCTCTGCGTGTTAAGAAGTCACTACACACTTCACTTTGCACTTCTATGATGTCAACCCTCGCCGGTCCAGTGTTTTTAGTACACCGCGAACAAGTCACCAGACCCTTACGTACTCACTGCTCACTTCTCATTCGTCGGCAAACCCGCACAGTAAGCATATCAGCGTGTATTGCCGGCATATATCGATATTCACGTACATACATGTATAGCACCATTCACAGATCCAGCTCGACGGCCTGTCTCTACTCGCTGCTAACCTGTGTCCAACCGGTACCGACCGGAGCCTATCGCGGCTGACTCGGAGCGTAATATCACAGCGTATATTGGGGGGTATTTTGTACCGACGGTCGCCCTCCGCAGCGGCGCACACGTGACGTCACCCCGGACATATATGACGTCACCCAGCGTATCCGAGTATGCGACTGAACCGCCCTGGCCGGCCGGGCAACATGCATAGTTATAGTGTACGACCGGCAGCGCACCGGCCATTGCTATGTCATGGGCCGGAGTGCCGGCACCGTACAGTTAACCACGGCGCCTGACGTCGTCACTGAGCATTACAGCGGGCAGGCGGGACACTTATATACCCAACGATAGATATACTGAGGCGGTAGCCCGCTAGATTCATGAGACATTCCGCCACATTAGTGAGACTTTCCCGGCCTTCAGCCCAGTGAGAGTTCCGGCAGCCAGTCGGACGCATCTGCCCGGCAAGTAACAGTATGGGACGAGCAACGTACTGCAGTTCCATGTTCGATAGCCGAACTCATCACAGAGGCTCACGCGGCCCCCAGCCAGCCACTGGCCCTCAGACTAACCGCCAACAGCGCCCCTGACGGCCGCTCAGGCAACCTCGAGTGCCTGCAAGTGTGTCCAGGTGTCGCCCCCGGCGGCGGTACAGCGGAGCTCTAGCTTGTAGAGCCCCGACGAGAAGAAAATGAAGCCGACAGAGTGTTGGAGACTGTCGCCCACGGCCACCTGGTGGTGAGAAAAGGAGTCACCAACACAAATCCGGTCACACGGCACCACCAGCAAGACTGCAGCACGTTTTCACACATCAGGCATCACAGCATCAGCACCAAATCGGTACCGCTCTTACCTACATATTCCCGATGGCCTGCCTGAGCCCGTCGCAAAAAGCTATAGGCTACATCCAACATCCAAAGTCATCAACTCACTGGTCAAAGCTCAAAGTCAAAGCTCACTGGCACATCAACACGGGTCAGTTAACACATGATATTGGACACCCATCCTCATCATATCCCGTTTAGCCGGGCCATAGACGTCCCTTAGCACTCATCTTACATCAATGAATAGGGAACTCCCTAGACACTCCGACACTCACCGCGTCTCTGTGATGTCGCAGTGCACCGGCCACGGCCATGCGCGTCTCGAGCCGCCGACTGACGGCTCCATTCTCGTGGTCCTGATACACGGACACCGTCAGTGTGACGTCACTGAGCGTCCGGCAGCCGCCATTGGTCAGCCGCACCGCCGCGCGGATGACGTCACCGGTACGGCCAGGAGCCGGCGAGTGGCCGCCCGAGCGGCCGTCCACCAGCACCTCTGTGGAGGGGGAAGGGGGGGGGGGCAGAGTTACAAACCGGTAAATGCCTCAGCAAACTGAACACCAGCAATTCGGGGGGGGGGGGGGCAGAGTTACACTCCGGCACACACTTGGATACTCAGCAGTCAGCACTGTCACTATCTGTTGTCTGCGCGGTAGTATTTGGTAACGTAAGCTCAGTTCAGTCACAGACAGCTAGCTTCTGTCCATCACCCGCACGTGACTCTGACTCACCCTAGGTGATACAGGGAACTCTGATTCACCCCGGGTGACTCTAACTCACCCCGGGTGACTGCGTGAACTCTGACTCACCCCTGGTAACTGACTCACCCCGGGTGACTCTAACTCACCCCGGGTGACTGCGTGAACTCTGACTCACCCTTGGTGACTTTAGCTCATCCCCAGGTGACGTGTCTCGCCCCACACGACTCTGACTCATCCTAAGTGTCTGTATCTGACTTTGACTCACCCCAGGTAACGGGACACACTCTCAGATGGTCCAGCATGGCGTCACTCCAGGTGACACCCCTCAGGTCGGCCCGGCCGGATCGCTCGTCACTCCCGTCACCGCACCGCCAGCCCAGCGTCACGCGGGACGTGACGTGATCCGTCACGTCACTGGCACTCTGCTCCGAGCCAGACAGAGCGGGCGGAATGCCGGGCTCCTCCTCCGGCTGAGGGGGAAGGGGAGGGGAGGGGGTCAGCATCTGGCTAGTGAGACAGCAGACTATGACAGCAGATTATAGCTATATTTAGTACGCGAGACTCCCTGCTTTAGCTAAAACAGTAGAGCGTTAGTTGACTATATAAATATCCTACCCAGTCCCGCTCTTCCGACGTTCTCCGTCTCCTCTACTCCCTCCCATCCCTCTCTCCGCCTGTAAATTTGTAAGTTGATGTCGCGCGGATCTCTCTCCCCCTCTCTCCTCTCTCTGTCTCTGTCTCTGTGTCTCCGTCTCTCTCTCTCTCTCTCTCTCTCTCTCTCTCTCTCTCTCTCTCTCTCTCTCTCTCTCTCTCTCTCTCTCTCTCTCTCTCTCTCTCTCTCTCTCTCTCTCTCTCTCTCTCTCTCTCTCTCTCTCTCCTCTCTCTCTCTCTCTCTCTCTCTCTCTCTCTCTCTCTCTCTCTCTCTCTCTCTCTCTCTCTCTCTCTCTCTCTCTCTCTCTCTCTCTCTCTCTCTCTCTCTCTCTCTCTCTCTCTCTCTCTCTCTCTCTCTCTCTCTCTCTCTCTCTCTCTCTCTCTCTCTCTCTCTCTCTCTCTCTCTCTCTCTCTCTCTCTCTCTCTCTCTCTCTCTCTCTCTCTCTCTCTCTCTCTCTCTCTCTCTCTCTCTCTCTCTCTCTCTCTCTCTCTCTCTCTCTCTCTCTCTCTCTCTCTCTCTCTCTCTCTCTCTCTCTCTCTCTCTCTCTCTCTGTCTCTCTCCCTCTCCTCTGTTCCTCAGACACTCTCTCTTACCTGCGAGTCCTGTTCGTCGTTTGCCAGCGGACACCTCTCCAGTGGGACAGGTACCCGGCACGTCTCGTCACCTTCCATCAGGAGTTTCTTTCCGGCCGTGTACTCGAGCTCCAGCTCGTGTTCAGTGGCGTTCAGCACGTCCAACACCAGGTAACACGAGCTCGGACTGTCGGGGGAGAACATAGTACCAGGTAACATGAGCTGCGACTGTCGGGGGAGAACATAGTATCAGGTAACAGGAGCTCGGGAAATAGTACAACACCAGGTAACACGAGCTCGGACTGTCGGGGGAGAACACAGTAGCAAGTAAGAGGAGATCGGGACATGGTACAACAACAGGTAACAGGAGCTCGGACTGTCGGGGGAGAACAGAGTACCAGGAAACAGGAGCTCGGACTGTCGGGGGAGAACATAGTACCAGGTAACGGGAGCTCGGGAAATAGTACAACACCAGGTATAACAAGAGTTCAGACTGCAGGGAAGAGCAGAGTACCAGGTAACAGGAGCTCGGACTGTGAGAGATGGTAAAATAACAAGTAACAAGAGACCAGGAGATATAACAGTCCAGGAAACAGGAGCTCGGACTATCGGAGAAGGGATAGGGGGGGGGGGGGACGTTTACTGTTTAGCATCATAACGTAACAAGAATTAGAGCAAGAGGCGAACTAGCGATGAATGTATTAGGGCCGTTCAGAGACTGAGAGGGGCGTCAACCGCCAGGGACAAGGCTGCGAAAAATCCCTGAAAGGTTGTTATCAGAAAGTATGGATAAGAATACTAAACTTCAATGTGGAGCAAATCAACCAGCTGGCTTCCGGCTGAGCTGATGCTCAGTACTCAGTAGGCACTGATTTTACTGAGGACATGCCCTCCACAACATAATCAATCCAACGGAACCGGACCGGACCCATCTGAGCAAGACCAGACCGGACCAACCTGAGCAGAAGCGGACCTAGCCCCTGCTGATCGTTCGGTCGGCGTACTCACGTCTCTGCCGGCAGCACGTCCCACTTGGTGATGTAGACGGAGGGCACCACGTCCACTGTGACGAGCACGCTGAAGGCGCGGCAGTAGCCGGCCGGCAGACCGGGCCCGCCCGAGTAGCGAACCTTGAGCACCGCCTCCGCCGTCTGCCGGAGCAGCGAGGGTGAGGGGTACAGTTAGAGAGGTTAGAGATACACTCAGAGGTTAGGGCAGGTCATGTCAGGTCAGGGATATAGTCAGAGAGGTCAGAGGCAGGGCAGGGGTACAGTCAGAGAGGTCACAGGTTCACTCAAGAGACCAGGGTGGGTCAGGAAATGTTAGTGGTAGTCGAAGAGGTTAAAGCTACACTAAAAGGTCCGGACAGCTGGTCAAGCTTACAGTCAAAGTTACACAAATTGCAATGACAAAATGCCAAGACAGATCCAAGCCCCGTCTCTCTATTCACTTCGTCCATCTCAGATCCTACATTATGTTTAAGCGAAAATAATTGTCTAATTACACCTCAGCTGAGACTCTTATCTAATATTGGACCTCTCAAAACCGCTTAGGGACGCCCTTGTGTCCCCCGGGCCGAATGGTACGCTGCGACCCGGTCCGTTTATCCGTTTATCCCAGTCCATGTGTTCTTTGAGACCCATTACTTCCGCCCGCGACTGACCTTGGCCGGGTATCGCGGCACCTCGGGCAGGCTCGGCCTCCTCGCCACACTGGAGACCGCCGTCCGCCCCCCACTGCTCGACGACCTCATACTGCCTCCCCCCAGCGACGGGGTGGACTCGGCCAGCGGCAGGCGGCGGCCGCGGCCCGAGGAGAGCGCACTGGAGAGCCGCGAGGGGAGGGAGGCGGCCGCCGAGCTGAGCAGACTGGGCGGCTGGCTGCCGCTGCCGCCGCCGCCCGACACGCTGGCTGACTCCGGTACTGGGGACAGAGAGGGAGGAGGGGTTAGAATACGGCACAGAGCTTACGGTATACTGGCCTCACTGCGAACAGGGAGACGAGGGTATTAACACGGTACACTGACCTCAGTGCGGTCAGAGAGACGAGATAAAAACAATTATCTCGTCTCTTGGTGTCAGCTCGGTGCAGACAGCGGGATGTGTTTAAGAGAAAATGGACCCGTATGTCGCTACATCATCTTAGCTAACAACATTACAAAAAAAACTCGCAGCTCTAAACAGAATATCGAATAGGCCATATTCGTATGACTGGCGGCAAGATATGTAGGTATACACACTGGCAATTTCGAGCAGCTTACCCTCCTCGTCCTCGGCTCTCAGCACAAACTCGTGCTCGGCGGTGACTGTGACGTTGAGCTGGGCCGCTGCGCCAGCCGCCAGAGGCAGCTGCTGCTGCAGCTGCTCCGTCCGGCAGCTGAGCAGCTGGCGGCAGCCGGCCGGCGGCTCCTGCAGCTCCAGCTCCAGCAGCTCCACCGGCTGCGAGGAGCTGTTCTGTAGCGTCAGCTGCAGCTCCCGGCTGCGGAGGGCACGGGCGGACGGTGTTAGTCGGCGGAACGGGCTCAGTCACTGCCTCACTTATTCAGTCACCGAGTTACTCAGCCAGTCACTCAGCCAGCTAGTCGACCAGTCAGTAGGCCACTTACCCAGTTACCCACTTACCCTCTCTTTACCGTTCTGCGCATACAGAGTGAGGTGTCCCTCCCTCCCTCCCTCTCTCTCTTTCTCCCTCCGTCCCTCCGTCCCTCCCTCCCTCCCTCCCTCCCTCCCTCTCTCTCTCTCCCTCCCTCTCTCTCTCTCTCTCTCTCTCTCTCTCTCTCTCTCTCTCTCTCTCTCTCTCTCTCTCTCTCTTCTCCTCACCTCTCTCCGGCATACAGAGTGAGGTGCGCCGCGCTGACGAAGCCGTTACTGTCGAATGGCGCCGGGCCGGACAGCTTAGAGGCTGAGGTAGACACCTGCAGAGGGGCGAAAACGGCGTCAGGCATCAGAATCGCACTCAGGAAACAAGAGATAGGTCTCAAGGTTACCAGGGGAGATACTGTCATGACGCTGACACTGCACACAGAAGACGGTCATCTGGTAACCAGGGATACTGTCATAATGACACCAACAATGGAACCACCACAGATCACAGCAAACGGACGGCAGGGTAAACCTGCATAGATACTGATACATTGAACTTGAAACACCGACACATCAGACACTGATATTGATAAAGCAACCACGATTGACACAATGACACTGACACACCATCCACTGACGCTGTGACTGACACCGGGATACTAACCTGTATCTGTGGGAGGGCCGGCACGGCGTCCGCCAGGTACTGGGACACGTCCACCCAGTCACTAACACACTGCCACTGCCACAATGATACTGACACAGACACAATGACACTGACCCCGCGTTCGATGTCTCCCGGACGACGAAGATTCTATGCCGTCCGGGACCAAAATGCCGTTCGATGTCGCACGGACGGCAAAGATTCTACGTGACGTCACGTAGAATCTTTGCCGTCCGCGCAGAGTCTTTTGAGCGTACTACGGTGGGCAGAGAGGCAATGATGGCGCGGATTTCAAAAGCGGCGCAGCAGCTGTTTGCAGAAGTTGTTGACATTTGTGCCCGGTCTCTATGGAAACGTAAACTTGGGCCCTTTTCGAAACTGACGCACATTGTGTAAGTGGCGCACAAAATGGCCGGTCTCGTCGTCCGACTGTGTGCTTCATCGAACGCAAAATAGAATATTCTGCGTAGAATGTTCTTCGTCCGAGGAGACATCGAACGCGGCCTGAGACTCACCTGAATCTGTGGCAGTGCTGGCACGGCGTCCACCAGGTACTGGGACACGTCCACCCAGTCACTGACACATTGACACTGATACTGACACACTGATACTGACATACTCCCACTGACCTGTATTTGAGGCAGGGCCGGCACGCCGTACACCAGGTACTGGGACACGTCCACCCAGTCACTGACACACTGACACTGACATACTCCCACTGACCTGTATTTGTGGCAGGGCTGGCACTGCGTCCACCAGATACTGCGACACGTCCACCCAGTCACTGACACTGACACACTGGCATTGACACTGGTGACACTGACCTGTATTTGAGGCAGGGCCGGCACGGCGTCCACCAGGTACTGCGACACGCCCACCCAGACACTGACACTGACATTGACACACTGACACTAACGCACTGGTATCGACACTGACACACTGCCTGTATCTGGGGTAGGGCTGGCACTGCGTCCACCCAGACACTGACACACTGACATTGACACCCCGACAATGACCTACTAACCTGAATTTGAGGCAGAGCCGGCACGGCGTCCACCAGGTACTGGGAGACGTCCACCCAGTCCATCTGTTTGAGACGGCAGTTGGAGCGGACGCCCAGCACCGTGGCCGTGTATCCTGAGGGTGGGAGGGGAGGGGGGGGGGGGGGAGTCACTTAGTGGCCTATACTAGATGTGAGGTTAGAGCGAAGCACGATTTAACGCAAATTGGGAGCATATTGCTACATGACAACTGGGTGAAATGACTCTGTTTCTGACTCATCTACTGGCTCAGATAAGCGTAAAAGCATTCGGAAACTTGCCCATAACTGTGTGACCCGTCACTGAGATGGCCGGTCACCACTGACCTGTGATAGTGACCCGGTGTAACCCACCACTGACCTGTGATTTGGTGTGACCCTCTACTAACCTGTGATGGTGACCTGGCCGGCCGCCACTGACCTGTGACCCGCCGCTGACCTGTGACCCGCCACTGACCTGTGATGATGCCCTGGTGTGTGACCTCCCACTGACCTGTGATGGTGACCTGTGACCTCCCACTGACCTGTGATGCTGACCTGTGACCCACCACTGACCTGTGACCCACCACTGACCTGTGACCCGCCACTGACCTGTGACCTCCCACTGACCTGTGATGGTGACCTGGTGTGACCCTCCACTGACCTGTGATGGTGACCAGGTGGAACCTCCCACTGACCTGTGATGATGACCTGGTGTGACCCTCCACTGACCTGTGATGGTGACCTGTGACCCGCCACTGACCTGTGATGGTGACCTGACCGGCTGCCTGCGGCGCGCCCACCAGGTTGACGGCGTGCGGTCCCGAGTTGGCGGCCAGGGTCAGCTGCGAGGGAAACACGTCCAGCGCGGCGCCGTCAGCGAGGAGGGAGACGGCGGTGACGCGGAGGTCGGCGGGCAGCAGGTTCTCCACCAACAGCTGCACCTGGCTCAGCTCGCCCTCCACCCAGCGGAACTCTGCGGGAACAGAGACTGGTCAGCTCGCCCTCCACCCAGCGGAACTCTGCGGGAACAGAGACTGGTCAGCTCGCCCTCCACCCACCGAAACTCTGCGGGGGGACGAATAGAGACAGGTCATAGGGGGCACCCTATCCGGCCGAGTTTCTCCCTGCCTCTGGTTTCTTTCTGTCGCGTTTCTCCCATTCGTACCTAGCTCCTCCCCATCGCGTTTCTCCCCTGCCGTGCCTAGTTTCTCCCTGTCCCATTTCTCCCCATGCCGTACTTATTCTCCCCTGTCGTAACTTCAGCACTCCCTGTCCCATTTCTCCCCCTGTCCTACCTAGTTTTTCCCTGTCGCGTTTCTCGCGCTGCAGCGACCCGAACTGCAGCGGACTGAAGATGAAAGGACCGTGGTCGTCCGCCTTGGGTCGCTGCAGCTTCTGAGGCCGCAGATGAGGGGGATACTCCAGAGGCCGGAAACGCCTGTAGAAAGGAGATACAGGTCAGCAGTCACCGGCGAGTGAAGAGGTCTGGTGGAGCCCGTGTGGTAAAAAACAGACTATTAAAAAAAACAGACTATAAAACAGACTATAATTGACTATAAAATATAATACATTTTATAATACTTCATGAGCGCAACCGCAGCACCTTACTTTTATACACGTCAATAGTCATGATGATGACGTTTCAGAGTAACTTTTCTACTCACGATGAAATTGGATTACTAAAAAAAAAAACAACAGCATCAGATTAAAAAAAGACATTCTATCCCTCGATTTCATCTAACCACGGACTGGCAGTAGTCTCTTTCCCCCTCCCTCACCTCACAACAGGCAGACAGTAGTCTCTCTCCCCCTCACCTCACAACAGGCAGACAGTAGTCTCCCCTCCCTCACCTCACAACAGGCAGACAGTAGTCTCTCTCCCCCTCACCTCACAACAGGCAGACAGTAGTCTCCCCTCCCTCACCTCACAACAGGCAGACAGTAGTCTCTCTCCCCCTCACCTCACAACAGGCAGACAGTAGTCTCCCCTCCCTCACCTCACAACAGGCAGACAGTAGTCTCTCTCCCCCTCACCTCACAACAGGCAGACAGTAGTCTCCCCTCCCTCACCTCACAACAGGCAGACAGTAGTCTCCCCTCCCTCACCTCACAACAGGCAGACAGTAGTCTCTCTCCCCCTCACCTCACAACAGGCAGACAGTAGTCTCCCCTCCCTCACCTCACAACAGGCAGACAGTAGTCTCTCTCCCCCTCACCTCACAACAGGCAGACAGTAGTCTCCCCTCCCTCACCTCACAACAGGCAGACAGTAGTCTCTCTCCCCCTCACCTCACAACAGGCAGACAGTAGTCTCCCCTCCCTCACCTCACAACAGGCAGACAGTAGTCTCTCTCCCCCTCACCTCACAACGGGTAGACAGTAGTCTCCCCTCCCTCACCTCACAACAGGCAGACAGTAGTCTCTCTCCCCCTCACCTCACAACGGGTAGACAGTAGTCTCCCCTCCCTCACCTCACAACAGGCAGACAGTAGTCTCTCTCCCCCTCACCTCACAACGGGTAGACAGTATAGGTTGACGGGCGGTATGATGAGGCCCGTCTCCAGCGCCAGCGGCCCGGGCGCCGCCGGCGGCTGACACTGCACCGAGAGCGCTTCCAGCTGGGCGGCGAACTCGGCGCGCTCGCCGCCGCTCAGGGCGCCAAACATGGCGTGAAGGAGGAAGGTGAGATGGCGGACGGCGAGCGGCGTGTTGCCCATCCGGCGGGCCGAGCCGACCAGCTCCTGGAGCAGCTGGGTCTGTAGCGCCGACCAGCCGGTAACTCGGTCTGAGGGGAGGAGGAGGGGGGCGTCAGACCAGCCCGTGACCCGGTCTGAGGGACGGGAGGGGGGGGGGGGAAGGTGTCAGCCGACCAGCCCGTCATCTGGTCTGAGGGGAAGGAGAGGGTCAGAGGAGGCAATGGTCGCCCAGTCTGAGGCAAGGATGGAACGCCAGGGATATGATATTGGGGACGAGGAATCATGCGAAGTGCTTGGCAAACATGTTTAATCTTCGCGATCTGTATGAAGAGGTGTAACATGAATGAACTTATAATTCATCAAACACATCCAAAATCATAAAAAAAACAGCTAGCTTCACTATGCAGGTGCGACCTGGGCCACCCCGTGGGGCTCGAAAGTCGAAGGAGTGAGCCATCTGGCGGCTTTCAATGCCTCATCTACTGTGATTAGAGGGCGCTGAATATGTCCAATGCCGGGCGGGAAGACCGCCTGAGGGGAAGTCGGACGGGTCCAGGCCCAGTCGATAGCCGTCGGACGGGGCTGCATAACTGTGCTTTGTTTGTTTTTGTTTTGTTGGGTTAGGCCCTTTCTGTCCAACTAGACCATTTCAGAGCGGAAGGATGATAGGAATTAGGGGGAGACATTGGTCTGGGCAGGCACCCTACTGAGTCACCGGGGCTGAGCCCATCCCGAAGGACGGGCCGACCAGCCCCAAGGTACTCACTGCACCCGGCTACGGGGTGCGCTCCCTCGGGAGCAGCGGTACCGCTCCAAGGGAGCAGCCCGCATGAGAATATAAAGTTGCCTGTCCAGCCCGGAGGGGAGTTGCGGCGTGGAGGAGAAGGATTTCCGTATCCCGTGGATAGAAGCACGGAACGGTGTATAACTGTGCAGTGTCTGTGTCACTGTATATTGTCTGTGTGACTGTGTAGCGTCCGCGTAACTGTGTAGTGTCTGTGCTAATTTGTATGTATTGTCTGTAGTTGTACCCACCTGATGGAAAGTCGGACGGGTCCAGGCCCAGCCGGTATCCATCCATGGCCTGCAGCAGCAGCTGGTAGCACTGCGACCAGGACGGCTGCGGGTTCTGAGACGCCACGAAACGCATGGCCGCCACCCGGCGAAAGAAGGCAGCCTTTCGGTGGAACCCGCATTGGGAGTAGAGCTCAGAGAGCGTCGTGAAACGCTGGATCTGTGGACAGAGGGACATATGACGTCACTGGAAGCACTGAGAGTAGAGCTCCGAGAGCGTGGTGAAACGCTGGATCTGCGGACACAGAGATAAATGACGTCACTGGAAGCACTGAGAGTAGAGCTCCGAGAGCGTGGTGAAACGCTGGATCTGTTGGCGCAGGGACATATGACGTCACTAGCCGCACTGAGAGTACAGCTCTGAGAGCGTGGTGAAACGCTGGATCTGTGGACAGAGGGACATATGACGTCACTAGCCACACTGAGAGTACAGCTCCGAGAGCGTGGTGAAACGCTAGATCTGGGGACAAACGGAGGGATAAATGACGTCACTAGCCGCACTGGGAGTACAGCTCAGAGAGCGTCGTAAAACGCTGGATCTGTGGACAGAGGGACATATGACGTCACTAGCCACACTGAGAGTACAGCTCCGAGAGCGTGGTGAAACGCTGGATCGGTGGACATACATATCAATTACGTCACTAAGGAGTAGGTGGGGAAAAACACGTGACAGGGGTACCTGCCTAAACGGCGTTAATGGTGAATCAGAACCTCCCTGCCAAGGCGATTTGGCGATCCCAAGGCAGTTGGTGACATACCAGGGAAATAAGCTAAAATTAGAGCGCTCTATTTATTGCTCCTGCCCCATGTTGAAGAGATACCCCTAAAAGCATGATCTTTTATCGGCCCTTACGCAGCAAGGCAGTAATTCTCAGACCGGTGGATGGTATCAATAGAAAGAGAATGCGTCAAAGATTAACATGAATTAATTAAAATAACATTAAAAATTTTAATTAAGCGTGGAAATTAGTCCCAAACATAAGCTAATTATTGCTCCTACCTCGGCGACGGCGCTCCCCGCAGTCAGCGGAGAAGCTAAAATAAAAGCCACCATCCTCCTCCGTAAGTCAATTTTAGAGCGGCCGAGTGGGCCGATGCGGGGCCACCAAACTGAGGTGAGACGTGGCTAGCAATTGCAAACTGCCATAGAAATCAATATCTTAAGACGTACAATATGGGATGATTACTCTGAAGCTGGAGTGAAAGCATGAGTAGATTGCAAGAAACGAAATGCACAGATTGGTTGAATTATGTACAATAGGCACAGCTCAGATGAAGCCATTTCTTTGATGTTGACATTTGACATAACACTTCCTCTCCTCACCTATGACTTAAGTACGTTGGCTGTTACCGGCATAGTTTTTTAGCACGAGTGTAATTCACCATCGGACCGCAATGCATGTTGCTAGGCTGCTGCAATTACAACGAACATACGAATGCTGCCTTCATTTGTAGACGTTTGTTTTTAGGCGGTCTTTGACGTACAAGGGGGCATACCTGTCGACAACTTGAGTTTCTCCGAATTTCAAAAACTCCCAGAATTTCAATTCCTTATGCACTGTTGTAGGTACAGCTATGTTCACAAGTTTTCGTTTCCTCCTGCTCTAAAAAGGATGATATTTGTCGATTTCGTGCGTCGCTGATAGAAGGGTGCGTTTAATAATTAGGCCCAACGCTTTCTGCATCCGCGAGTACCTTGAAAAGGGAACAACAGTTTCCATTTATTACACTATGGGACAAGAGACAAAATGACCACTGCAACACGCATGAAACGGAGCTCATATTCCTAAAAATGTCTACAATCACTTCTTTTCTGACACTATTAGCAAATACCATCTCAAGTTAGGTGGTTGACAGACAGTCAATGGAAATCTGGGGAGACTGATGCCAATTCACCACTTAACTGATAATGAGGGCCGAGGGAAGAGAAACATGCAACATGCACAACTGACAACTTGACAAGTGACAAAACACTACCACTATTGCGCAGTGCACAACAAATTACAGCAGCCAGCCCAAAAGATGCTTTTGGTGGCTAATTGCAAAACAAGTCACTAATAAATGTCTTAGTTGCAGCTGAACACTGCACAATGATCACACTGTTGTTCACACATTGAGTGAGATGCCACAGGTGGTTTGAATCACACTTTGGTACAACTGCAAATCTGAAGTGTTGTCATGAGGTTCATGCCTCCATGATCACAGCACTTTGGTTGTGGTTGGCATAACACTTGTAGTCTGCAGAGTTCCACATGAACTGCAGACACCTCATCTGGTGGTCTTCATGTTGCTCAACTTCTTCAGGAGGCAAATGTCGACCACCCAGCGGAAGCATGGTCCTGCAGAAAAGAAAGGTAATGCATAAGGTACAAACATTATCTGCTGAAACAGCCCCTTCTGTTTGCTGTTATTAAACTTTTAGCATAACATAACAACATGTATTCCATGTATATTACATTTGTTGAAGTAAAATACTGCCGGCTATTTCAAAACCAGAAAATGAAATTACATTGTGGCATAATTCACATGCTCAGCTATCAGTATCAAATAATAAATTAATTTAAAATTTGGCATATTCTATATAACACATTCATAGAATATTCTACTTCACGTCACAAGGACTCACAATCTTTCTGTTGGGTGTTTGATTGACGCATTAACTAATGTTGAGTATCCATGACAGGTTGGATGATGATGTAAATAATAAACCAAATTATTACAAATGCATTCAAATATATTCAAAAAGACACACAACTACTAAGTTTATTAACTAAGTTTGTCTTAGGTTTTATTATTGCAAAAAATTCATAATGCATTATTGTATCAAAATACTGCCAGCAATAACAAAACAAGAACATGAAAAGTCAATGAGCAAGCCGCCTTTCTTAAAAATGGATTACATTGAAAAGAATTTTAGTTTCTTTTAAGGAAAAGGAGAAATGATTATCAGGTAATTATCAAAAACCACTCAACCAGCAAGTGGCTGGGTGGTTTCACAGCAAACATCAAGGCATAACATATGCTTACATTTATCTAACAATTGAGCCATTTGACTACACAAGGATATGTGAGCAAAATAAGAATCCAATTATCCAATGTTGACTTCCTTGCAAAGTTTATGCCTTATTTTATGAAAATGTGTCACTAGAATATGATCTTATCATCGAAAATTATTTAATTTACGACTTATTTCGATCGGAACGCACATGGAGTTCCGCGCCATTTTCGTCGACGATGAATATGATCGTGTTTCATGAAGAGATAAGGGGTTTCAATGGTCTTTCAAAGCAATAATTTGATGCAAAAATTTGTAGGAAATAATATAAAGCTGGTTCAAATGGCCATCAACCATTTAAAACACCGAAAATACTCACAACTCCGTCCCGACGACCACGCAGCACCACGCACGCCACACTACTGGCACAATGCCAAAACTGCTGTCACAGCAGAAATGTTTTTTTTTTCTCGATTGCAATTGTGGAATTATTTATTAAACAGAAGATGATCTTTCCGAAAAACCGACTGATTTCATACACAGATACATGGAAAATAAAAAAATCCCGATAAGTTTATTTGTATTGTTTTGTCGATTTCGACATGCTCCTAGTTTGCAGCCATATTTCGATATGTTCTACAGGGAGTTCAGAATTATTTCAGGACCAATCTTTTCCTCATTCATTTTCCCGTCGATCATGAAATTTTTAGAGCGGAACAATTAGTTTCCAGGCGGTCCGAGCGGTTTTCGTGAGAAGGGTGCAAAAATCGGCGTCATTTTTAGAGCCTCGACACCAGCTCAACACAGGACCCTATGGGAGACGGTGAAGTAGCGGGAGCAATAAATAGAGCGCTCTAATTTTAGCTTATTTCCCTGGTGTGTCACCGACTGAAGGCACCCTTTGCAAACTCCGCTACACTCCATTTCCATTGCAGTTCATTCAAGTTATTACACTTTTGACGTTAGTACATTGAGACAAAACCAAAAAAAAAAAAATATATATATATACAATACATGATCCAACGATGCCCAGTTAGGCAGCGTTTGACTAAAGCTGCACAAATACACTGTCCCGTTGCGCACCTTCTCGCCACCTGCTAGAAGTCTGTTACGTACCTTCTCGTCGTCGGAAAGCTGCAGGTTGATGAACACGACATTCTGCAGAAACTCGGCAGCCATCAGGTAGCGGCACTGTTCGATCAGCACGTGCACAGCCTTCAGACTGCACTCGGTCTCAATGACGCCCGCGTGTCGGTACTGCGGGGAAATAGAGGTCGGAGAGAGGTCAGATAGGGGTCGGACAGGTCACACAGGAGGTCAGTCCTTCAGACTGCACTCGGTCTCAATGACACCCGCGTGACGGTACTGCGGGGAACCAGAGGTCAGACAGAGGTCACACAGAGGTCATACAGCGGTCAATCCAAGAGAATTCGCGAAATATTCATAAACCATCCATACAAGACATCCATATAACACAATCTTTCGTCTGACAAACCCCAAACGGCGATGTGAACATTCACCAGACGGAGAACACTCGCCATTCATGGCTAATCACTAACTCAAACAGAGCCTAGCCCGCTACCCATCGTATCCACCATGCCGTCACACAGCACCATATAGCTCCCCTTGCTCCCAATGGTCATTTCACCACTCTATGAGACGTGTTTACTGTTCATACTCCCCAACTCCTACCCAGCTCCTCTCCATCCCCACTGATTCTGACCTTGCTGTAGTGGACCACCGACTCCCTGTACTTGTCGACAATCTCTGCCGGCGTCAGACAGCTCCGAGAAGCCTCGAGAAACTCGGCCGGCTCGATACCGTGTGGCAAAGAGTTGGACGCAGACGGTCGCCTGGGGATCAGAGGTCACAGCGAGGTCAGGTAGAGGTCACTCGATAGTCGATACCGTGTGGCAGAGAGTTGGACGCAGACGGCCGCCTGCGGGTCAGAGGTCACAGCGAGGTCAGATATGGCGGTCAGAGGTCACACTAGGTCAGATAGAGGCCAGAGGTCACAGAGAGGTAACATAGGGACACCAGGAATACCAGGGGTTACACAGATGCACCAAAGGCCAGTAAATTGTAGCAGAAATCACGGATCGCACGCACTACAATAAGTGCATTCTGCATCGAAATGTGGATAGAACTCGAGCGTCATGGCATCCCAGAGTCCCTACAGCAGCACAGTTCCCCGCGGTCACCAACCCACAAGTGGGGTTTGTTCGTCCCCAGCCACGTTCCGTCCCCAGCCTAACCGGGTCAAACCGGTGAGGAGAGGGTCATAGCCTTGGCTCCCGTGACCCAAATGACTTGGGGCCGCAGGGTGGTTGGTTAACCTCGCTGCAAGACATAAAACAGATGATTTCCCAGAAATAGCAGCGATTAACGCGTTCTCATTCCTCGCATGCATATTGCATATGCGCAGATCGCAATGATACAACGAATGCATTTATCTCTCGGTGTCTTGCCTGCTAATTCACGCGAGAACCATTCCGTTAATTGACATTCGGCTGTGGAGGCCGGCATAGGTGCGAGCAGTGACCCGTGACCGGCAGGGTCGGCGACATTCCTTCCACGCCATTCGTCAGCCGGAGGCGGTGGGTGCCGTCAGGGACAACCAGAGATGACAACGAGAGACGACTATTCCTCACAGGTTACCATTGGGTTCCGCTCCGCCCACCGACCGAGATTAGATCACCATTTAACATGCTCTTCTGGGTATTACGTTTTGCACAGGAGTCCCTTGTCTTTGTCACTGTGTGTGCTTTGTCCCTTTTCAACCATCGCTCAGTAGCCTCCTAGCGCCGCAGGAGTCTTCAGACATCCGTATCACACCGGAGTTTAGACCAAGCAAGCCCTGTCCATCATAGACTACCCGCAATCCACAATACCCCGGTGTGATGTAGCCACCAAGTGGCTTGGTGTCCGATTGGCCATAGTTTTTTTCTTCGCCTGCGATATTGCACATGGCGTAAGGGGGTGTACTACGGTTTGCAGAACTACTGCTGCGCAGCATTGTTTGGGCGCAGTTCCCATGTCGTAATTTTCCTTGCCCTTGGATCCCTTCAAGAGGAAACTCCCACATTATTTTTTTTTCTGCTTTAATCCAGCGGAGAACTACGATCTGCAGCTATTGACGTGAAATTGATGGGAAGTTACCTGCCGCTGCAGTCCACTGATCGGGAAATGATTGGGGATGAGATAATCCCTTCCCAGAAGACATTGTTGAGCAAAACATGAGGAACATCGTTTCTTTGCAGGGCCAATGTCTAAAAATATATCTTAGACAATAGCCGGCACTACCTGCAAGTGAAAAGACATGTAAAAACGCAAGATCTATCAGTTATGGCCGTATAATCTAGCAACAATATTCCGGAAGTTATCCTAAATGAAGCCATCCACCCACATTATAGCGCTTGCAAGAGCGTTTTCCAGTCCCACCGACCACATACAATCCCCGTATAAGAGCTGCAGCTCCGTATCAGTCCCTATAACGCAGCCCTGTCCCTGTACCACCGCAGCTCCACACAACCCCGTGGGAACATCGGATAACCCAATCGCGTCGGTTGGCCAACACCGGCCAACACCGGCCTCGTCGGTTGGCCCCGGCCGCCTCCATTGTCCGCGCTGTGGACTCGCACGGCTAATGACGCGGTTACGACACGCCGCGCGGACATGGGGAGGCGCACCAGCCCGGCCGGGGTGAATCATTGATGACTCTCCGAGCAGGGCACCGCACAGCGGCCGGGGGTGATCGTCAGAGTGGCCATTCCATGCGGGGAGATGTATGTATGTATGTTTGTATTGACACCAAAAGCCTTCCACATGTGGCGTGGCAATTACGGCTTGGGGTCTGATGTGTTGGGGTCTGATACCAGCCGGCGAGGCAGCGGGATATGCGCGAATACTGAGGACACTCATGACTTACACCGAAAATTGTGCCTAGCATTTGCTAAAAAGTACGGAGCGAACGCAATCAGAGCCAAGCACAGGAGAGGCCGATCGGAATGTCTGAGCAATTTAACGCGCGCCAATAGGGAACCCATTCAGAATCGTGCACAATCCACTTTATGAGCAATGAGCATGGCATTTAAAAGCTCCCACAATCATGTATGCGAATAAGCGACCTTGGCATTAGACCCTGCATACCGCACAGGCTGAAGTTATTCCAGCCGAAGTACAAGGCTGCATGCTAATACGCGCTGATGAAATTTAACGAGTTTCTCGATAACTTTTAACAGCGAAAATTGAGGAATCGCCAAGCGCACGGCCCGTGTGAAGTTGCGGACATGTTGCACGAAAATTCGCAGGTAATAAATAGACCACATTTTTCATGAAAGCTTAGAAAAACGTTTTTAGAAAAAAAATCCATCAAACTTGTTGTCTTGATCAGATAGGTACAGAAAACAGGCAAACAAAAACAAAGTCCCAACAGTTCATTCACAAAGGAGCATTGGGCATTTATCTGCCATCTGCAGCTAGTTTTCTGCTCTTGCTGCAGTGGCTCTGCAATGTCGTTCCTAGAACCCCCCTCCCCGGCTTTGCTGTGCTGGTCACATGTCATACCGGCCGAGTACTGCTCCCGGCTGAGGAATGCTTTAATCCGGGCCGGTCAACTCGTTTTGTGGCAGAGCTGAGACAAAACACAGCCCTACACACCAAACAGACCCCAGCTACAGGCACTCGTCTCTGGCATTAAACATGACAGGACCATGACATTATGTCATAACAGCACTTCATGGCAAGATATACAATAGCGTGAAATTAACGTATGATTTAAAACACGCTCATGTGTTCGATCCACCCGCGGTGTTCGTGGTTCGCTGTGTTCTGTTCTCCCCGCAGCGTTGTGTGCTCTCTTCAGCCGAACTTACCCCGTCCGACAGACGCGCGCCTGGTTCAGGGAGGCGTTCCTCTGCACCTGGGCCCTCCTGAGGTCTGGGTACAGGACTGCCACCGAGGCTGCACACATGCCCTCAAAACAGCCTGAGGGCATGACGTGGGGGGGGGGGTCAGAGGTCGCACACGTATCCTCGAAACAGCCTGAGGGCATGAGGGGGGGGGGGGGGGTCAGAGGTCGCACATACGTACCCTCGAGGGTACAGAGGGGGTCAGAGGTCGCACGTATGCCCTCGAAACAGCCTGAGGGTACACAGGGGTCGGAGGTCACGGCCATGCTCTCGAAACAGCCTGAGGGCACAGGTGACAGGACGGGGTTGTTAGGGACACCGACTCTTTCACACGATACACAAATCCAGCGGCAACGGCAAATCCAACGGCAGCCCATGCCCAGCAACGGAACAGGCGCAAGACGAAAATCCGGCCAGTGGTCACACCGCTCTGCGCACACAATGCATGGTCCGGGGTGGGTCATTTACCCAGTTGTGCCCACCTCCCGACCCTGACAAGTACCCGGGCTGGACTCCAACAGGGCGAGCCGGAGCGGTATCTACTCTCCCACAAAAACACAACAACCCGCCCGACTAACAACTCACACCCGCCTGCCCACCGAACTTTATCGTTAGTGGACTCGAACCGGCCATAAACTGGCCACTCTGGCGGCTGATCCGGTGGTAAACCAGCCGCTCCACTGTTTATCATCCAGCCGCTACGCTCTAAACACCGGGCCTGAGCTAATTCGGGGATAAACACGAACCAACCGCTACCATCCGTCCATTGATGGCATCAACTAACGCACATAATTAGTGTGACGAACAGTGCCGAGAGAGCGGTCTCTATCACGGGGAACATGGCCAGGGCGCGGCGCATGGAGCCGCCTCCCACTCGGCTGGACGACTTTCGGACGAGAGAGAAGAGGAGAGCCGAGAGCGGAGAGAAAAGGAGATCAATAAGAATGTAGGAGAAAAAAAGGTAGAGGAGAAATAGATGAGGGAAGCGGTAGAATGCCGAGCTAGCGGTTGCTCGTTTCGAGCCTGGACCGGCATAAGCGGGAACTAGCATAACTGGGCGTGCATTTGACCGACATTGTTGCGGAGCGATACTAAAGCAAAGACACCTTAGGAGCAGACGAGCTGATTAGTGGCGAATTAGGCCACCGCTGGGGGAGCACGCCGCCCCGCTCTGGTCTGTCCAGTGCCCATCCATCAGCCGTGGCCCAGATCAGACACCTCACAGTTACATCTGACTCGGGACGGCCCGAATATGGCCGGGGGCGGGCCATCCCTCATCGCCGCACCAGCCGGCAGCCCACCCCTCCTAATCCAGTGGTCGCTGCCCCTCAGACTGCCAGCTCAGCGGTTACGCGCCGGTCTCTGTTCCACTGCCGACACTAGAAGGTTGGCTTAGACAGCCTGTTTGATACCTCCGTCCGATCCTAGCTTCCACGGCGGACTGACAGCCAGCTTCGAGTCACCATCGCACATAGGGACAGCACGCGGGTCATCACAGTCCACCAGACTGGCTCAGACCGCTAGGGCTAGTTGAGTCGCCGGTCCGGTGGCTCCCAGCCTCTGATTCAAGCTTCAGAGGCTGGTGTTCGCCCTAGCGCCAGTGGCTACATACTTCATGGATGGGCGAAATCAAACACAACATCTGAGCTAACATCTCTCTGCTCCTTAGCTCTGCCTCTCTCTCTCTCTCTCTCTCTCTCTCTCTCTCTCTCTCTCTCTCTCTCTCTCTCTCTCTCTCTCTCTCTCTCTCTCTCTCTCTCCAGCCGGGTGAACGCCCCTTCCACCATCATTCAAGGTCACAAGGTCAGATGGGTCACATCTTCCTCGGTAAAGGTCAGCTCAGTTGAGACCGGCCGGCCCGCGGCGGCCGGAAACTAACGCCCAGAGTGGGAGGATAATGAACGAGACGGCCGAACAGACCGCGGCCTTGTGGTCACGGCTAATCACCAAATGGAAATCGGCACCTCCCAGGTGACAAATGAATGGAAGTTTGACGAGCCTTGGCTGAATTCCATATGAGGGGATGCTTATTGTGGCAGGGTCAGGTTTCAGGTCATATTAATTGGCGTAGTCAAAGTAGCAAATTGCAGTCGACCATACGGTACTAAGAATGTCACCAGCAGCCCGACATCGGGGTGGCGCCCGACGCCCCACGAAAACCCAGTTCAATGCAGACAGGGACAGAACTTTAGAGCAAACACCACAGTACAATACAGGTACATAACAGGGACATACAAGACATTATGACAACGTCAATCACCAGCGATACATGAGAGGTGGTTTTCGGCCGAATTCTATCCCATCTCTGCATCATCCCTTCCCTCTTCGGGTGCTTTCCTCCACCCCCATTCCCCTTCTCTATTAGCTCTCTTTGTCCATCTCCCTCCTTCCCACCCTTATCCCTCCTCCCAATCCCTCCCCCTTCTCCCCGTCGACCCATAACTCTCCCCCCCCCCACCCCACCCCCTCCTCTGTACCCCTCTCCCCTCACTCACCGGCCAGCCAGAGCCAGTCGTTGCTCTGTCGGAGCAGCTCTGCCGCCGCCGTGTAGTAGCCCATCGCCTCGGCCGGCAGACCCGTCTGTAGTGACAAGTCCCCCATGTGCTTCTTGGCGCGGCCCATGCATCGCTTCTTGTTGCTGCGACTCTCCATATCCAGACCGACAAAATCCTTTCGCTCGAAGGGCGCGCAGAGGAGGGCCAGCTTGTCAGCGCGCTCGGCACTCTTGTCCACGCGTTTAGCTTCCAGCACCCAGAAGAGGCTGTTGGCAAACTCCTGCAGTTGCACGTCCAGGTCGTCACAGCTCTCTACACCGGCGTAACAGAGCGTGCGAGCGCGGAACGAGCCGGGAGGCGTGAGAGGGTCCCCGCCGGCGGCCGGCGCGGCGGACCTCGAGGACCCGGCTGCAGAGGACACAGAGGATCCAGCGGACCCGGCGGCGGGCCCGGAGGATCCACCGCGGGCCGGAGGAGGCGGCGGTGGGGCTCCGTTGGTGAGTCTCCCAGACGTTGTGGAGAGCGCACACCCATCCGCCTCGTCTGACTCGCTGTCGGCTCGCTCGCTGGACTCACTGGTAGCCTCGCTGGCACAGCCGCCAGCCGTCTCACTGTGGTCGTATACCCCACTATCGCGATCCAGACTGGATGAAGACACCTTCACTGCCGCTGCCGCTGCCGCCGGGGCGGGGGCGGGAGCGGGGGATGGCGGCGCCGGCTCGCCCCGCCCGTCGGCCGGCATGCCCAGCACGACACAGCGCGAGTCGTACAGGGTGGCTGCGTACCGACTGCGCAGAGACTCGTGCTGCTTGCATACATCGTTCAGCTCCGCTTGGTTGGTCACGTGACCTGGCGAAAAGAAGAGCGATGGTCAGCGCACGGGGGTCACGTGACACACGGGTGATGGGTCTGTGAGCACAGTAAACTGATGGCGGGATATGTGAGAGAGGATAGTGGAGTGGGCATACGGAAACAATCGTAACATAAGCAGCGTGCAGCTGGCTAACACACTTCTCAACACAGACTCTCTAAATCTGACGAATCATCATCAGTCAGACGAATCTGTCCACTGTCCACCGTCCACACCCCACCATCCACCGTCCGCCAGCGGCGGTACAGTCGCAGTATAGCCCTCGGCCACTACCGGTGCTCACTGGGCGCGGAAAATGGCAACAGTGGTCGGCTAGGCGGCACCAACAGCGGCACCAAGGTACCGCACAGCGGCGGCATGGAGCTTATGACCGACAATGACCCAAGTGCTAGCCTGACGCCTGGGGTAGGGAATGTCTGAGACTGTAGTGAGTGCTGTGAGTTTCGCTCCGCTCGCCATTGTCAGCTCACTTTGCGTTCCACCATCGCGGCTTAGGGACCCAGTCCAGGTATCCTAGAGTCCGTGGACTCTGGTGGGCTCCTGGACACGGGGACTTGGGACGGGACTCGGAGATGGATTGAGTTGTTTGGCAATAGCCGGACGGGACGAGTTATTACCAGAGTGGGGAGGGCTAGCTAGGAATTAGGGTAATGTGATTAATGACATGCTTTCACGGTAATGAAATGAGTTATTGTTGAAAGGGATAGAAGTTATGACACGTTTTAGTAGCTAGATTGTGAGAAATATTCCGCTCAGCAATTGAAAACTCTCTCTCTCTCTCTCTCTCTCTCTCTCTCTCTCTCTCTCTCTCTCTCTCTCTCTCTCTCTCTCTCTCTCTCTCTCTCTCTCTCTCTCTCTCTCCCCTTCCCTCCCTCTCTCCCTCCCTCGCTCTCTCACCTAGTGTGATGAGCCCGAGGACGCGCCGGTGGCTCTGAAACTCGCCCCAGTCGTTGTTCTCAGCCGGGTACCAGCGTCGGTAACGAAGCCAGACGGCCCGCCGCGCCCCCTGAGAGTCACGAGTCGTCACCTGCTGTAGACGGCTGATCCGGTCGTAGAGTTTGTTGAAAGTGCGAGGCTTCAGCTGCTGACCTGTGGGAGAAGGGGGAGGGGGGGGAGGTCAGTCCAAGTTCAGCAGACAGGGAGAAGAGAGGGTCACTCCATGATCAGTGGGTAGAGGGGAGGGGTCAGACGGAGACCCGTAGACAGGGGAGAGGGGTCACACTTGACGTCACGGAAGTACAGAGGCTGGAGAAAGGCTCATGTGACTGGGAAACCTGCCATTAGCTTACGTAAGCACGGCATCAATGCCAATATATTCATACACTCGGGTACATCACAGATGTACAGGTCTCGCGAGATTAAGCGGTAGGTTTTGCACTTTTTACATTTCCGGTTATATCTCAGAAACTAATCGATCTACGATGAAGCCATTTTACACGATCACGGCCGGCTTGTTACCCAACAAGTCGATCGCATCTTCAACACTTAAAAGCTTAAGACGACGAAGATATAGCCTGAAGCAAGGCCTGAAGTACACTAAATTTTCTAGGTGCAAAACCTACCGCTAAAACCCGCGAGACCTGTACATATTGAACGACCCACAGCGGGACTTCCCAGAGGAAATTCAGTCTCTCTCATCTGCCGTGAGGACATGCTTGGCGGCTGGTCCTCACTCAGTCCGAGGAAGATAAAAGCCGATGCGCACAACACCTCACTCCAAACAGTCCTCAATACACTGCCGTGACGGCACAGTTGGGCAGTCGTGACGATCGTGACGGTTCACTCTGAACAGTCGTGACAGCCGTGGCAGCTCAGGCCGACCGTCACGACCGGATAAACGGGAGCGCGGAACCACTGCTTTACCACCCGAGGTGACTTTGGAGAATCGCATTCAATTTTGTTCAGTCGCACCGTCAAATAGGTACCGGCGACTGGAAACAAATACCCCACAATGATTGACAAAAAGTCGATGCTGCCTTGTTATGATACAATGACATATTTTCATTTTTCTATGGAGCATTTCATTATTTTATGAATGGAGCCCAGCTCCATTCATTGACTGCGCCGCCACTACGGCTGAAATGTCGCTCGTATACAGACCACCTGGCACCGTTCTGACGGCCCTGTCCCTCCCTCCCTCTCCCCTCCCTCCCCGTACTCTCACTCAGTGCCCACCTGGCGTCAGTGGGTCACGGGCTCCGTACTACGGGGTGCGGGCTGTCTGCGAGAGACCCACCACCTGCAGTCGGTCGGTTTCTGATCTACGGCGTTCGGACAGATTTTACCTGACGGCCGAATGGCTGACAGTGGATTGGGACAGTGGACTGGAACAGCTGCGGGCCCGGCGGGACAATGGATTGGGACAGTGGACTGGGACAGCCGCGGGCCGGGCGGGACAGTGGATTGGGACAGTTGACTGGGGTAGCGGCGGTATACATATACCGGCGAGGCAGGGGCGACGCAGTTCAAACGACAGTGACGCAGCTCATAAATGATAAGAAAACAGGCACGATAACGCACCGGGACAAAATCATTCAGCAGGATGACTCGCTCAATTTCACACATACATAACGAGAAAGTGAGAGGCCACTTCAGCCTCAGTATTCCACGCATTGAGCTCACGGAGCCCGTCCACACCGATTAGCCAATCACAGTCCCACTGAGCCAACGACAGAGCTGAGTCACCTGTTGGCTAACCGAGCCGATATCGGGAAATTCAGTCTGAGAGTCACTGTCGATTCAGCTAAAAACCACAGCAGCCACAGGCACAAAACCATCTTATGGCAACAAAACTGATTCGTATCTTGCTTAATTTTCCAAGAGACTGAAATGCGGCACGCGTAACCAAACCAAACCAAACCAATCACAAGCCATTTATCCAAATAAGTGTAAACCAAACGAAATCAAATCAAACAAACCACAAACCATTTATCAAAGTAACCATTTATCAAAACGCGATGTTTGCACCATGCAGATATCCTGCATAGCCCAACCTGACGCCGAGCAAGGCGCCGTGGAGAGCCGTCGTTAGAAGCACCCTCCGGCACTCCGCAGCACTCCGAGGCACTCGGTCTCGGTGCTCGGCACTCCGTGGGACCTCACTGGGGTCAGTTCTCAAGGCGTGGGTGTTCGACACGGCGGTAAACACACATACCGGCCCGGCGGACCGCCGCGCGGGACAAACTCTCAGAGAGCACCATCAACGGATGCCCAACTCACACGGAGAACCGCTCAGGGGTTACAGAACTCTCACACGTGGGATCTTCTGCATCGTAAACACAAACTCCTTCCCAAACCAGCAGAGCAGGCGGCCGTCCCGTGACGAGTGAATCACGAGATGCACTCGGTATCGAGTCACCCGACCCACGGCAGCAGTAACACCGAAACCGACACTGTCACCTGTAGGGCTGCCCTTTCGAAACTGCGAGACTGCGGGTGCGCCGCTATGGGTGACGCCATATCGTGTCCGGCACTCTCCGAAACAGCTGGCCTCGGGAGCTGAGGTGGTCAGCTGGACGCTGGATCATCAGATAGCAGTGAGGCCCTTGGGCCCCCGGGCGATCAGGTGGGCCCTGGGTCCTCAAGCCGCGGCGAGGCCCTTGGGCTTTCGGGCAGCGGTGAGGCCGTGCCGCGCAGTGCAGCCGGGGGCAGTCGATGTGGACACTCTGGACAGTACCGGACTCCTCTCTCCCCTCCCCGCCTCCATCACCGCCGGCCACGGCATGCCTACCTACCAATTGGAAAGTACCAACCTCCCCTTCCCCTCGCTCCAACGGCCGAGAGCCGATTCTATCGCCGGCGGCTGCTGAATCCATTACACAGTGATCGCGGACCAGATTACATACTAACAGGGGTACCCCCGTCTGCCCCTGGCAGCCCTAGGCTCCAACACCGTGCTTCTGAAACAGGAGCTGGACATTCACTTGCTCTTACCAAGGGCGAGGTCAGGCTGGATGGGTCCCTCCGTACGATTGTTGTGATGAATGTAAACTGTAAAGCGCACACACGCTACAACACATGTAGCTGAGTGTAGCCGTGTGTAAAAGTCCAGCCTTTGAGCTGACGAGCTGACATATGTAGAAGGTAGGACCGCTATAGACCCAGCACGGTGCTGCCACCTGCTGGCCGTCAGACGAAACACCCATCGGTGACCCCGGTGCCGGGTCACAGCCAGCTGAGCAAACGGCACTCTGCAGTCGTCTCACGCGCCGCCGTCAGCCGGAGAGACTCCGGATTGGGCCACCGTCAGCCGGAGGGGTCCGGAGCGCAGCACCAGCCACCGCCGGAGGGCAGCCATTACCAGCCATCTACGGACCATCTACGGGCCGACACGTTCGCTTTAGTTCCACCTTCTCCCGTACGGTCTCTTCTGTACAGTCTCATAATCTCTCACATTACGCACGTTCGTTCATATCTCTCCGTTTTCTCGCTCAAACACCAACGCGGCCCATCTCATGTGCGTCACGTTGCAGCCAACAAAAAGTCCGTTTCTCCCGCTCTCGGCTGCCGTACCGGGCGGCGGATGCTGACCCCGCTGACCTCTGGTGACCCCGCGCGGCCACATCAGACGGGTCAGCGCCGCCTCACGGCCCGGTGCTGATAGTTCACACCCGACTCGGCGTCGGCACGCTCTCTCCGACGGTCGAGAGAGGAAGAGACGGAGCTGGGGAGATGACGACGGCACGACACCTGAGCACGAGTGAACGCAACGGTTCCTGGGATCAATCCATGGTGTCAGGCATGATCGGTTTAACCGGAGAGTTGATGTTGGAAAGCGAAAACGGACGATTCACTGGTCGAATGTCAGACGTAACCCCCAACTCGGACCGCAGTCGCGCAGCTCCCTACCCAATCCCCGTTTCAAACACGCTTTGCAAGTGGTCCGACGGCGTTCAGCCAAATGAGACCATCATCACTGGCAATGCCAGTCGAGCGTGTGATTGCACTCTGAAGCACACTGGCGAATTGCAACCACCGACCACAATGGCAAAACAGGCCCCGGAGCCCGGCCAACTGCAGATAAACTGACTTTGCACTGGTCCGCACTCTCGGCTGGAGGTTCAGAGGCACTTAGCGCTCCACCGCTGATGGGAAAGTGACACGGTAAGTCGGAGTGTCCGAGTCGACAGCCCGGGTCGGGACATTGTGCTGATTACGTCACAATGGCGCTTGTCCGTACACACCCAATGTCAGGCCCACAATGAGGTCATTACACACGGGGTATAAACAGTGGCGACCTTGACCCGGGGTCAGCGCCGGGGTGGGCGCGGGTCACCACCCCTGCTCGGCTAGGGCTCATTACTGGACCGCAGGCACGCAGCGCGCGACCACTGGTTTTCACCCAGGCTCTAACCGGACAGACTACCAGGTCAAACACACTACCCGTGCTAGCCCGGTACAAAGTTGATATAACCAACCACCAGCCAGCCCTAAACAGCGCATATCGCTAAAAGAACACAAAGGCAGAGTGTGAAATTGCCGTAAAATTTATCTTCCAATGGGCGTAGGCTGGTCACCGAGTGGTGGATTAAAATAACTAATCGGTGCTGTTCACAGGAACCCGATTCACAAGGGAATTACACGTCGGCATTGTGGCAAATCACGCCAAAGACGGCCATCAAACAGCCATGCAGCGCCGCCGATTCTCAGTCGGTTCGCCAGATTTTCACACGTCTTAACCGCACTTCCTGCGGGCTTCACACGGCCAATCAGACGCGGGCCGGATCTGCAGCGGGAGGGGCGGCGGTCGGTTCGGCCCGGGGACCGACCCCACTCGTCTAGAGCGGTATCACTCCTCGCCAGGTTAACCAGCCGGTGGGGTCCCGTCGATTAGGCCGGAGTCAGGCCCATATCGAGGGCGAGGCCGCGCCTGGCTCAGTCGTATGTGGTTTTGGATCGCTGCCCTCGCTGCGCGCCGCTCCACACCCCATGGTCGGACACGGCCTAAGAACTGATGAGACCTCAACCTCGAGCGCCGGACGGGAACACGATTACTCTCAAATCCGACATTTTTGCGCCCCCATGCAACACGATGCGCTCAAATCCGACAGCGCTATGAATCGACTGTCGGGGCGAAATTGCACATGGAG